ATCGACTAAACCTTGCTCCTCCGCGTAGTTGAGGATGGCCCCGACCGGGTGAGCAAGTGGAGTCAATTGCTTGACGGGCTGTAGCGGTCCGCTCGGGACGTCCGCCTTGCCCTTGCCTCTGCTTTTGTTACCTTTGTACTTGTTGTTTTTGTTGCTAGCTTTTCCGGCAGCTTTCTCAGCACTTGAACCGGCTTCCTTCTTCTTTTCTTCTTTAGCACCTTCTTCCTCATCTCTTTTCCTTTGCAAGGCGTCCTCCGCCTCGGCTTGCCGGTCGGCACGGCCGAGCGCCTCCTCGTACGAGGTAGGGGGACTTCTGACGAAATCTTTGTAAAGCTCGCCCGATAGGATAGAGTTTGTGAGCATGGCCACCCAGGTCCTGTCATCAAGGCCCTGAACCTTGACTGACTCGGCCCTCCACCTCGCTAGGAAGGTCGACAATGATTCCTTCTTCCCCTGTTTTAGGCCGAACAGGTGGCTGAAGTTTTTCTTGACGTCTCGGGAGCTCGCGAACCTCAAGAGAAAGCGCTGAGCCAACTCACGAAAATTCGTGATACTCCCATCGGGTAGAGAGTCATACCATTCACGAGCCGGGCCATCCAAGGTGGCAGAGAAACCGCGGCATCGGATGGCATCTTCATACCCCATCATCACCATGTAGGAAAGGTATCGAGATACATGATGTTGGGGGTCAGAAGCGCCCTTGTATGCTTCAATGGCGCAGGGCTTGTAGCCCCTCGGCAACGACGCATCCATGACCACCCGGGTGAAAGGTTCGGGTATCTGGAGGTCGGCCGTGTAGGGCTCCCCCCCGACGACCCTCCTTCTCAACTCGTCAAGGCGCTGTCGTAGATCTTCCACCTCGGCCGGCGGTGGGTTCCCCCGGACAGCCCCAGCACGGGGCTGAGCATGTCCAGCGGTGCCTCCAAGTCGCCTGTGCGCGTGAGGACGGCCCCCCACATTTTGCCTCTCCATGGAGCCAGTTCGGCTGCTCGCTAGGTGAGAGTGGCGAGAGGACTCGTCTCCTTCCATCTACATTGAGCGCCCCTGCTGGATGCCCCTCCCCGCCTGTCGATGGGGCCGGCTAAGCTGCTGGGAGACTTCTTCCCTCCCGTTTTGGTTGGATCCAGAGCGTCGCTCGTCGCGCCGCCTGGAGGACACCTCCACATCCGATGGCGTTTGTTGACGGGCAGGCTCATCCACATTTCCGCCAGACACCATCTGTTGGAAACTTTGAGCCAAGGTCCCCAGAACCCGAGTTGCCTCCTGTAGGGCTTCCACCCCGGCATTGAGTCGAGCCGGGTCCATGCGCGGAGCATGACGTCGGCCTCCCCCCGCCGGCTGCGGACCGAGCGCTCACCTTGGGTGTAGTTGAGCGTCGCCCTTAGGTCGCCATGGCCTGATAATTGGTTCCAAAGGTCGCCTTGGCACGCCGCCCTCCTGCCCTGTACATGGTTGTCGAGGGCACGCTGGCGGCCAGACCGGGTGGACTCGGTGTGGACTGAGACATGGTCACGTCAAGACGAGATTCCGGCCATCTTCCTATGTGATTCCTACTCAAGTGATGTGAGAGACAATAGAGGCTCTCAATGAAAGCACCAATGTTGGTCCAAAATAGGACGCTCGTAGGCTTTTAGGAAAGCTACGTACGACATTCAAGCAGGAATTAAGAAAGCAAGAACGAGAATGGAAAGTAGCTAGGAGATTTAGTTGCCAGAAATAGCATGTCTATTATTTGACTCGAACTTGCCTTTTATAGGTGATTACAAATGGTAACCGCCAAAGATACTAATGGTTAACTAATTACAACATTAATACGGAATTAAATAAGTAATTAAGTCCCACCTTAATCACTTTGGCCGTTATAGTTCCTGGCTGGCAGGTCAGTCTGGCTGGTAGACTGAACGCTTGAGCTCCCTTCTGCTGGACTGGACGGTGGGCTCCCCGCTAAGCTGGAGGAAGGCTTCTGATCGGACTGGAGGCAGGCTCCCGGGTAGACTAGAAGGCAGGCTCCCCGTCGGGCTGGAGGCAGGCTGCTGTCTGGGCCAGAAGGCAGGCTCCCACCTAGGCTGGACCGCAGGCTCCCAGCTGGGCTGGTCGGCAGGCTCCTGGCTAGACTGGAAGGCAGGCTCCCCACTGGGCTGGAAGGCAGGCTTCCCGCTGGGCTGGAAGGCAGGCTTCCCGCTGGGCTGGTCGACAGGCTCTCTTGGGCTTCCGCTCCTTGATTGCCCTGATTGGTTGGGCCGACTCGAGCTCTGGGTTGCTGGGCTTGGGCCTGCTGGTCCAAGTTCGGGGCCTGGGCTGATTAGGCTCTGAGCCTAGTCCCATATCCCCATCAACTCAGCTTTTATATTTTCTTAGACCCTTACTTATTTTCCATATCCTTAATATCCAAAGCGTGTGTTGGGATTTCGGATATGCGGGACTTACCCTCAATGGACTTCAAATTTTTTTGAAAGGTCCTTCTTTGTGCACCCCGAGTTTTACTTGACGCACCCACATTTAAACTTAAATGGACTCATTTACCCCCCTCCGTACTACGTATTTTTTGTTTCATTTCCAAGTGGACTCCATCCTATATTTGGCCTATGGGACTAACTTTGACCGCATAAAAGATTTAAAGGGGTATCGTACAATGTACTCCATCCGTCCCTTAAAACTTTGTCATCTTTCCTTTTTTGATGTCCCATTAACTTAGTCACTTTCCCTTTTTAGTAAAGAATTTATGGTTCTAGTCAATTCTCTTTCCTCTGTACAAACATCAATTACACAATTTTTACTTTCTTAATCCCCGTGCCGGTCAAACTTGGCAAAATTTTAAGGGATGGAGTTAGTATATATTTCTTGCCTACGGAAACAATGAAACTACTGGTCCTCTATTCTAGAGCCCTAGAGGGTATCATTTTTGTTGAATGTATTTATGTCTCACAAGTTTTGTTAGCAAGGAATTATCACTTTTCTTGCCTACATAATCCCAGAATATAATTTCATCAAGAAATACAAATCACAACTACTATTAACCTATTTACTCTCTGAATTCAATTGATTACTCCCTGAATTTTAATTATATATTCCTGGTAACATATACTCCGTACTAGTATATTTTTTGCAGAGATTTTGTAAATTAAACCTTTTTATAAGCAATTTTCCAAACATATTTGAGCTACATAGTGTGTTTAGTGTCTTTTTCAATCATTTCAACACATGTTTGTAAGATGTATTAATAGTGTGCATGTCACCTAAAATTAGATTTATATTTGATACGTAGTATAATTGTAGTACTACTAGTTTCCTAAGCACAGTTATTAATTCTAAACTATTGTTTTGAAAATTTTGAAAAACAAAATAGTAAGATATATCAAAAAAGAATTTGAAAGTTGAATTCAAGAAAACTTGGTAAATATGTTTATTTATGTGTAAATTTAATTAGTTATTAATTTAGAAAACTTGATAAGAGTGAAGATAATTGAAGTAATTATCAGGGTTTTAATGAATAAAATATTTATTCTACATGTAAGACACACATGTGAAAGACATTTAGAATGTTTTTAGTTTGACTGATATCGATCCCAAATTTAGAACCGGTTTGATAATGACTTAATCGGTTGTATTGACTGATTCTGCTGAAATTTATGAAATTTTGGCTGAAATGACTGGATTGGCTGATTCTGCTGATTCATTAAAAAAAATAGAAATAAAATAAAGTATATGAAAAATAGCTAAAATGATCCTCTACAGTAATATCAGTCAATACAACCAGAAAAGTAACTATAACCTTACCTTTTCTTATTATTACACAATTCAGCTTGCGAAATCAAAAGTTATGTGTTAAGCGAAAAAATTAGCTGATAAGCCTAAAAAGCTAAAAACACGATTACCAAACATGCTCTTAAACAAATCGCACAAAACCAGACTAGACTATAAAACACCAGGCACAATCATACAAAATACCAAACTCAAATAAGAGTAAAGTCCACACCCACCAGTTATTTATTTGACCAGATTTAAGTAGATCAGACTTAAATATATCAGACTAGAATATATTTTATAACAAATTCACATATATAATATTAATGTCATATGTAAGATCACAAAATATTTAATATCACATATTTTTGTAAAGATCGAGGAGCAAATAAAAAAGTTAGGACTACTTTTTTGTTTTTTTTTGAAATCCAATAACTTCATCAATTCATATCATGCCTTAAGACATGAACAATACAATCAGGTGGATTATCAATCCAAATACCGACAGTCCCTAAACAAGCTTCCCTAGCAAGTATATGGGCAGCCTGAACGGTGCACAAATTGGATATTTATATTAGGACTACTTATATACTAGTAAAAAACAATTGTTCAAAGTTTAGCACCAAACCAAGTTACCAAGTCAATTTTAAAACTCTTTCAAAAAAAAGACAATTTTAAAATTGAAAAAAATCAATAGCGCTACAAGGTTAGAAAGAATGGGTTTGAAGTTCCAGGGTAAATCAGTCACATTGTTGTATGAACAATCGATCAATTCCATTATTATATTAATATTAATAAAGATAAAATTTCACTTTTAAAACTTTAGATGAAGTCAAACAACAAAAGGTTAAATAAATAGGAGAACTAATTCAAAGAAATCAAACAACCAAAAGGCTTGTTTGATTAAATGAAAAGTAACACCCTCCAAACGAGGCAAAAGGTACTCGGATTTGTTTCCTAATTAGCAATTATTACTATTGGTTTACGGTAATTGCAAAAGACGGAAGTCACATGGAATAATAGCCGCCTAATCTTTTCGTTAATTGGGCAATAAAACGCGGGTGTTTGACAACCGCTTTCTAGAAGACAGCGTATCCGTTCTGCCGAGAAGAAGGAAAACAATGAATCATCCCGCCTCCATCCCAACTAAAAGAATCGTTAAGCACAACCCTGGCCGTTACGTCACCGTTACCGTCATTCTACACGCCGTATATATACACCGCACCCGATCACCCCCCTTCTTCTCAAATCTATTACTCAAGTCTCGATCTCTCGATAAAAAAATGCACAAAATGGAAGAAGATCTATACTTCAGCCCCAGTTTCAACAGTAGCTACTCATCCCATTTATTTGTCAAAATCACCGGAGAACCCCCAGATGATTTTGAGCCGGAAAGTTCTAATCATAAGCCTGCCGAATCTGTCGCCGCGGAGTTCGATAAAGAGGAGGATGAGGAAGGCAGTGATGATTTTGAGTTCTCTTTGGTTCCCGAGCATTTCAATGCCTTTTCAGGTGACTTCGTCTACGGCGGTCAAATTGGCTCGGCTTTTCCCGTCTTCAACCAAGATCTGTTGTTAGATGAAGGTTTTCTGGTGCGAAATCGAGGACAGGAAGGTAAGGAATTTCGCATTCCAAATGAAGTTGATAGGCCGGTACGGATTCCGTTGCGGAATTTGTTCTTAGGAGAGAGGGAAGAAGACGCTATTCGAGCGCAGTCCTCGTCGTCGTCTGAAGCCGATGATGAGCTGGAGAGCGTGCCGCCGGGAACGTACTGCGTGTGGCGTCCGAGGAAGATCGAGACGTTTCCGAGTGTCTGCGAGAAGAGCAGTTCTACCGGATCGGTGTCAAAGCGAGGGAAGCTTCGAAAGTTGTTGCGCCGTATTAACAGTGACGGAAATGAACGTTACGTGTTTCTGACTCCGAAAGGGACCGAAAAGTCCAAGCAGCCTGGCGTTGTGCCGGAGTTCACCGGGAAAACAGAGGCGAGGAAGATTAAAGGCGGCGCAGCGGCAGCTCCAATGGCGGCTCACGAGGCGTTTTATTTGCGGAGTAAAGCGGCCAAGGAAGGCGAGAAACGGAAATCGTATTTACCGTACCGACGAGAATTAGTGGGCTTCTTCGCTAACGCCAACCCAGCCGGATTCGGGAAGACTTCTCGTTCCAATTAAAACATTATTATTATTATTACCATCAAATTCAGATCTCACGATCTTCTTTTTGTTTCTTTATTTCGGGAGACATAATGTTACATTATTGTACAGTTATTTCACCTTTTCTTTTACTTTGACTTCATCTATCCCTATTTAATTGTGATTGTTTTGTTTTCAAGTTGGCCAGCACTAAAGTTTAAATGCTACTACGTGAATACTGGTACCATCATAATTAAATGAGAAAACGTGAGAGTAGTATGTAGTTCGATAGAATCATTATGAATGCACGGAATCATGGTCTCAGAAGTATATAGACTATAAAGTCCAACAAAAAATAATAAAGAAAAGAGTTAGATAAGTCCTTGTCTTTACTTGAAATTGTCCCATTATACTACGTACTATTACTTCCATCCCCGCGAAGGAGCTTATATTTACTCCCTCCCGCTCTAAAAGGATTGTCAAGTTTGACCGACACGTACAATTGTATGATATAGATTTATGCAGCGGAAAGAAAAATAACAGGAATCACAAATTGATTGATTAAAAGGAAAAGTGTCAAAGTTTTTGGGACAATAAAAAAAGGAAAGTAGGCAAAGTTATAAGGGATGAAGGATGTACATTTTAGGTGTTCAAAATTAATACATTTTCTGTTTGAAATACATTTCTCTAATTTATATATACATTTCTATATATATATGGTGCGGTTCCAATAAAAATCATCCTTATCGTGCAAACTGCAATCCGTCACTTTTGACTCAATTTGATTCACTTTAAAGCTCGTCTCTTGCACTTTTTGAACTTTGCTCGAATCATGTCAAATAGAAAAAAACGGTGGAACTTTTGTAAATACGTCAAAGTTGTATGCCATTGTGAAAAAGTGCAATATGGAAACCTAATAGTGCATCACAATGGGGGTGATAAGTCCGTATTTAGACATGCATTTAATGCGTGTTAGGGTCGGATTTTGATGGTTTTCCTAGATTTAAGGTGTTACAAGTCTCAATTTTAGCTCAAGTTTTGTTTATCGGACGTTAGTTCGAGTTTTGTGTTGTTTGGAGTCAAAATCAGGGAATTTGAGCCCAGTACCGGTGCTTGAGGAGCAAACGGGATGATTCGAGAAGCATTCAAGAGTGAATTGAGAGCATTGTAGGTCACCGGGAGGTTCACGATGAAGATTTGAAGGAAAAAAAATTCTAGGATTGGCTACGGGATCAAAAGAAGACAAAGAGAGCTTGAAAACGGTGTTCAGGATGGCCTTCTGTCAATCGTTCAAGCATATATCTTTGTAGAAGTATTCAAAGGACACGATTCAAGTTGCATCTGAAAGCCAACTTCAAGGGCTACAAATAATATGAAGACATCATTCCGAGAATCTGAAAGGAAGAAGGTGAAAACAGACGATGAAGTCAGATGCTCCCTGTTGCGATTTCAGAATGAGACATTCCACCATTGTATTCATATCTCTTGATTGGATGATTCAAATCCAATTCGGCAAATTGGGATGGATAGAGGACTTCATTATCTACAACTTTCATGAAGGAAGTTTTGTCAAATTCGGACTAGATAAGACGGAAAACGCACTGGTAGACACGCACGCGTGCGTGGTGGGACGCACGCGTGCGTCCAACGATTTTATGCGTTTCTCTGTCGGACGCACGGACGCAATGCACGCGTGCGTAGGCACCGTGCGTACCTAATTTATTTCCTAATTTAGCCCAAATCACTATGTTTCCTATAAATATCACTCCCTTAACCCTAATGAAGGGGGATGGAACTTTAGAGAGAGATTAAGGACGGGATTAGAGAGCTTTTTCAGCCAGGTTTTTCAATTCCTTAACATTATTTGTAAATTCCTACTTTTTGATTAATGACAATTGATTCTATTTATCCCAATTCTATTGATTCTTCAATTATGAATAGGGAGTAGTTTTAATTAGGGATTTGGGGTTGATGAACGGGTTAATCATGATGTATGGCTAGATTCTTGATGGTGTAAATTACATGAATGCCGTTTAATTTGTGTTTGAATAATTTAATTGATATCTTTTGTACCCTAGAATGGCCACTAGAATTACAATTGCATATAGAATAAATTAAGAGAGATCTAATTTGTTCTAGGACACATTCACACACACTTAATCGTTCGCTAAGAGATTAGTAGCGATTAAGGGGCCGTAAGCTCGTTCGTCTTGGCAATAATTTAGGATCCTGTCGCATGAGAGATCAGCCTGGTCCCCTAAATTATTGTACTCTACGCCGCGAGAGCGGTAAGAACTTAGTATTGATTAGCTAGGCTCAATTAAATTTAATTCATGTAATTAAGCCTGATCTGCCAGAAATCTGATTACCCCGGAATCAATCTCTGTTCCCTTCGTTGTTAATTAAGAAGAACCCAATTATTTACTTTTAGTCGTTTATTTGCAATTTTAGTTTTCTCAAGCAACCAAATCTCGCATGACCGCATTTGTTTTATTTATTCTTTATCGCTGATTTTTAGTTAATTCTTAATTCCCTTTTATCGTCCCTGTGGAGACGATACTCGTACTTTCACCGCTATATTACGATCTTTTTAAGTGCGAGAAAACTCACATCAGGGGGAAAAGTGACCGGTTTGTAGTTTTCACGGGAAGAAAGGTTTTTATTTGATCCAGAATATATATATATATATATATATATATATATATATATATATATATATATATATATATATATATATATATATATATATATATATATATATATATATAGGGAATAGATCCCATGAAAACACCCTCTAACATGAAAAATGGGAAAGAATCCCGAACGTAGATCTGGATGAATCGTACGTCTATTTGGAAATATCCTTTGTAGATACGGTGGACCGCATTTGAGAGAATTATTTCCTTGAATGACCACTTTTAATGATTCGCACGCTGAAGGTCATATTAGTCAATCGATTCTCTTACCATTTTTAAAACGAATCAATTAACCGGTATTGCAAGCCGTAATACACCAATACCGAAATCACGCCTTCCAATTAGCCATTAATGTCAAGCTGCTAAAGTAGGAAAGTGCAGAGACAAGTTTGGTTATTCATCCGTATCCAAGAGTGCTGTGCAGAAAGTGGAAGCGCAGAAAGGAAGAATTTCGTGAAGAGCATGGCGCAAGTTGAAGAAGAGAATGATGCGAGAGAGGAACAGACAAGCGACGGAAATCGTAAGTGCTGTATTTGTTCTCAATTAATCTTAAAATGTGAAGTTCTAGAATGAATGTTAGTAAAAATGTGATTTGTGATTGTGCATGTTTGAAAACGATGAAAAAAAGTTGGTAATATGTTGGGTTTGTAATGTGAAGGAGCAGTTGCGTGTCAGTGGGTACCGGAAACGTTGAAAGCTCTTCTTCTGTAAAAATGGTGAAGCCAAATGTTTGCAGAAGAGAGAATGAATAGCGTTTGCGGCGTGAAATAAAACAAAATATTATAGAAGTGGATTGTATAATAAATTGAGTGTAGACAATGTTAATTCAATTTTTTTGGTATAATATATATTTGAATTTGAGTGGATAAACATGAAGTTGTAATGCATATTGAAAATGTGCAGTAAGGATAATTTAACAGAACACGAGTGAATTCATGGGTGTGAAGTATTAGAAAAAGGCTTTAATGCATAAAGCATATATTAAGTAAAAAAGGGACAGTGTATATATGTATGTTTGAAAAATGAGTGATATGAATGTTGAATTTTATAGTCAACATGGTTGATTAGTTAATTGAATTTCATATAATAGGATTTTGTGTATGGAATTGTGGTACCAAAATCACTATTTTTTGTTTGAAACACATATAATTTATTATAAGTTTGGGTGTAGAAAAGGCATTACAAAAATATAGCTGCATAATTTTTGTTTGTTTTTTAGTAGATGAAACATGTGGTTTTAGTGCACATTGAAAGCGGAGAATGTGCAGTAGGGATAAATAGACACATAAGTAGTGAAGTAATGGGTGTGAAGAATTATGAATGGATTTGAATTGATAATGGATAGAATAGGTGGAAAAAGGAAAGTGTGTATAAGTATGTGTGACAAATTAGTAGTTTGAATTGAAGTGTTTTTATATAGTGGAGATGAGTGAGTCATGTATGATTTTAAAAGCAATTTAAATTTGTATTATAACGAGCAATGTAATAGTTTAGTCGCGGAAGGAAAAAATATATTTTTGATTTGAAATAGTGGAAGTATTATTGAAAATAAGTGGCATTGAGTAATACATTTTTAGGTGGTAATGAAATTGTAAAAAGTGAACTGACACGTTCAAAGTAAGAATGGTATTGGAGATTGAATTAGTGAACAGTGTGAGAAATGTAAAAGTTTATTTGGGAATGGAAAAAATAAATTTTTAATTTGAAAAAGTGAAAGTATTATTGATAATATGAGGCAGTGAGTAATACAATTTGAGCTGGTAATGACGTTGTAAAAAGTGAACAGACACGTTCAATGGAAGAATGGTATTGGAGAGTGATTTAGTGCACGTAGTGTGTGTTATGTTAAAGTGTACATGTAGTTATTAGATGTGCAAAACTTTTCTATACAAGTTCTCACGTTAATATATGTATAATGTATACAGGTGTGGAGGAAGCAACAAGAGTGATTACAAAGCGGAAGAAAAATCCAGTACATGTTGCGCAAAAGAACACAAAAAGGATGAAAGTGCAGTGTGTGAATGCGAAATACAAAAGAAAAACTAGAAGTGCAACTTGCAATACTTCAAAGAGATTGAACTTTGACGAGGACGAGAATGATAGTTGTGAAAGTGAACATGAAACAGATAGCGATTACGTGGAAAGAGGTTGATAATTCAACTGATGATGATTTTGTTGAGGGTCCAGAGATGCGTATATGTAAGGAGAAGGTTGGAGGGAATAATGTTGGATCAAAAACTGGTGGGAAGATCAAAAAGCAACACAAACTGCGGGATTTGAAGTCAAAATTCAAACAAATGAGAACAAGATCATCACCATTTCTGCTGTCGCAAGCAGTGAAGCAAATGAATGAAGCGCAGCGTGCTGCCGTAAAAGAGATTGGGTTTGGAGGTCTATTGCATCTTGACATTTTGGAATTACCCTCAACATTGAGTTTCTGGGTAGTGCAACATTATGATGCTCGCGATGGCAAGATAACGGTGGCAGATGGGAGTAAGGTGAAAATCACCGCGAAAGACGTGCAGAGAGTTTTGGGATTTCCTAATGGAGGGAGAGAAATTAAAAAGAAGAAAAAAAGAGAAGAATGTGCACTGCTACACGAATGGAGAGGAATGTTTGGGAAAGAGGATAACTTGATTACACCAACGGTGGTCTGCAGTGAAATGATGAAGTGTACAGATGCCGGTGACTGGTTTGTGCGTCATTTCTTGGTTCTGGTGGTGTCCCTTTTGGTGGATAGTACACAGAATGGGTACGCCAATCCGTTAATTCTGAACAATTTAGAGGATGTGAAGGGCATTAAAGAGCTTAATTGGTGTGACTATGTTATAAGTTGTTTGATAGAAAACAAAAGGACGTGGGAAAGTAATATCAACAAAAGCTACACTGGACCACTACTATTCTTGCTGGTAAGACACATTTAGGTTTAAAATAAATTAGTTCTTGAATAGATATATTAAAATGAAAAATAATGTGGTTTCAAATAATGACATTGACATGTTTGGTGCAGATGTTTTATGTGGACAGAGTAGTTCTGTATAAAAGAAAGGTTTCCCGGATGTGTCCAACAATCAAAGGATGGACAACAAGACTTTTGAGGGATCGGGAGAATGATGAAGTGAAATCAGGAGGCTTTGGGTTTGGGGATGTGGACGGCCCTGTAAAGAAAGAAAGGAAATGCAGTGATGAAGAGTTTGAATATGGCAACACAAGGCAGCAGGCTGGCATGAAGTGTGAAGAAAGTTTGGGTGAGGTATGATTTGTATTAAAGGTACCATTATATGAATTTATTGTAAAAGTTAAAGTTGATAGGTGCTAAAAGTGTATGATTTGTATTAAAAGTAGCATGAACTGACTTTAATATTACATATAATAGCAGGACTTGATGGTGAAGTTTGCCAAAAAAACAAATGTACTTGTTCAAGCTACAAGTGACATAATGTTGATGTTTGAAGAGGCACGAGAAGCCGTAGTGGGCAGTGAGGACTTTGTTAAAGTGCTAGATTCTGCGAACAAATTGCTGGGGCTTAACACATTGACCAGAGATCAGTGCACACCAACTGGGTTGCAAACAAATGTGATTAACGAGGTTGATGCATTCTGGTCGAACCCGGTGAATATTTCAACGCTTGACAACGTCGCCAACGCTTTCATGCAAAAGGCAAATGAGAATGATAAAATAAGTGGCGTGCCTAGCTTCAGTATAGGCTTGACACAACCGGATGGTGATGGTGAGCATGCCATTCCAAACAATACGCATCACGAGGACATTAGTAAGGTTAGTAAAAATAGCAGATTAGTAATTGAATGTGGATATAGAGTAATGTCATTACACAAAATGAGATATTAATATAAATTTGAATTGCGTGTGAAGTATGTGATTGATTGACAACATTTGTGTAATTTTGTATGTGTTAAGGTGAATATAGAAGAGGAAGGGGATAAAAAACAGGCTGATGTTGCAGAAGAGCTACATAAGAGAAATCAAAAGACAACACGGTTCCTAAAGTCACCATACGTGTCAAGAGTGGTTGATGCAGCAGAACCTACAAAGATGTTTGAGCGGGAGATGGCGAGGTGGCTTTTGCAAGGGGAAGGAGCTGACATGTAAGTACTTTTTTTTAGTAAATAGTAATTCAAAAAATGTGATGGTTTAAATGCACAGGAAAGAGAAAGTGTTCAAATATAAGGACTACAATGTCACGCGGGAGGATTTGATGACAATAAAGGGAGGGTGTAAGATCAGTGAGCAGGTTTTGAATGTTTGGGTAACTGTTCTAAACTACAGAGAGAGAAATAGGAGCACCTTCTCGCCTTCTCGTTTATTTGCAAAGACAATGAATTGTGTAAGTGATACGTGTGATTAGAATAGATGTATAATGTTATATGGTTTTGTGTAATTGCTTGTAATGAACTGTAGTTGTACACAATGGCTAATGAGGTGGTGAAAACAAAGGAGGAGGTATATAACATACTAACTGATGCAGTGGAGTTTGGACTTGATGTGGTGAGGCAGGATGTTGACCTGGACAAAATAGATCTAGTAAGTGATAAATTTTACTGTACAGTGTAGTAGTGTATCATAAACATTTAAAATATTCTTCGTTGATTGTGCAGTTCTTTTTCCCTATAATGCAAATGAGGCATTGTTATGTCATTTGCGTGAATCTGAAGCGCAAGAGAATAGACATATTAGATAACTCATCTGCTAGAGTCTCAATGAGGGATAAATATGAAGAAATGCCAGCAGCTGTGGTAAGAAAAGTATTTCAGAACAATATGATTTTGAAAATTAGATTATGCACATTAGGAGAACTATATAATTTTCTGAAAATTAGTATTTCAGAAAATGGTTAGTAATTTGGTATAATTTAATCAATTACAGGTGTCGGCATTTGTGGAGTACTTGAAAGCAAAAGGAATGGAGAACACAGCAGCACCGTTGCCCAAGACAAAACCAACCCGAGTTTCCATGTCTTGGAGGGATACGAGTAATGTCATTGATTATGGGGTGTTTGCAATGCGTCATATTGAGACGTATAAAGGCGAAGGACTGACGGGGTGGGATTGTGGACTTAGACATGAAGACCAGAAGCAGATATTAGGACTAAGGGTTAAATACGCAGCTGTTGTTTTACTGGAAGACATAAATGAGCTGAAGACTGAGAATTTAATCAAGGCAAAAGAGTATGCAAAGTTGAAGTCTAAGAAGTGATTTATGCGTTTTCAAAACAATTAATGTTTTTGGTTGTTTGTTGGTGTCTTAAAACATTTATTAAGTTCATTTAATTTTTGCTATTATGGAACATGTGAACTCATACTAATATGGTTCGTTAACAATTATTTGTCTGAGTTTATGTTGGAGTATAGACTATGTGGATTGAACTAGCTGGATGAATGTGGTTTTACTAGTAATGTATAAGTGCATAGTACTAAGATAACAGTGAATCTATGTGTTATTTAAATGAATGAATAGTACGCACACTTCTAATGCAGGAAATTACACGTTAATGTCCTGTGAATACGGAAATTCAGATTATGGTTTTGGTGGTTTATGCCATTAAATTGTATTAAAGTGGAGTTCGAAAAAGTGAACCTAAAAAAGATTAAAATGCTTTAATAAAAGCACAATACGAATTACTTAAAATCAAAAATTTTGGGTACGTGAATCAAGTTTTTAAGAGGTGAGGTCGATTTATGATAATACTACTTATTGGATTGATTTTTGAAAATATAGGATGAACAGTTAAGAATTGTGAATACAAGGTTCGCTAAAGTGAAAAACAGCAAATGTGAAATTATGTAATGTCTGCACACTGGTAGTTTATGATCGACAACGTTTTTAGATGAACGAATGGAATATGTGAATATAATGAAGATTGTCTAGGCTTTGGGTGAAGTATATAGAAATGATGACTGATATTAAACAAGTTGAAATGCGATAATAAAAATCAATACTAGATTAAACTAATTCGTGGAATATGTGTACACAAAATATGTGTACACAAAATATGTATTGGCATCTAATATGTGGTTGTATAGTGGTAAAATGATTTTTAAATATTCATTGCACATGTAAATAGACAAGAAAGCCAATACATTTGTAGACAAAAACAACAATGACATGAAATAGATATAATGAAGTGTGCGGAAAATACATGAAACTGAATTGTGAAAGTCATAATCTTTATTTGGACTGATGGTTGATAAAAAAATTGAAGTAATCCCAAGAAATGCAAATTGTAAACATATGAATTTTAAAACATGCAACTGAAACATTCTTAAAGAGCACTATTCTTTGGACAATTTCTACTATCATGATATGACATTTCATTGCAACTTCTACACAACCGCTTCGCACGTTGGCTCTGAGCAACAACCAACTCTTTAGCACCTTTAATTCTCTTACCCGAACCTTTGTTGTGTGCTTGAGGAGGTTGAAGAACATTCACTGAAGTGGGTGCGGAGGAGCCAAAAAAGGACTGAATTACACTAGTTTTGTTGGTTAAAGATTGTGCATCTTGCATTGTAGATGCAATAATTTCCTTGTTTTGTGTGATCAGTGATGCAAACTGTCGCAACAGAGAAGGATCATTTTCTACCATTGCAACACATGAATGAATATCAGACCACAATTGATTAACAACAAACTTCTTTTCCTCCAAGGCTGCACTTTGTTGAACCACTGCATCACCGATATCAAACAATGGTTTTATACACCCTTTCTTAAACCAGCGTGTGTTTAAGAGATCAGCTGGGATGCATTCAGATTTGAAATCTTTGAGCACAACGAACATATGCCTGCAAACCAAACCTAGACGTAGAAAATATTTGCAGCTGCACGTCAAATTAGTGGCATCCGATTTACAATGAACAGTAAATCTCAAACCACGTTCATCAGAGATCAAATACTCCAAACAATCTTCGTTCTCACGTAGGCTTGTAACACGACATGAAAAACACGCGGAACAAATCTCAGACTGCACATCTGAAAAAATAGTGAGTGTGTATACTGTTGCGGCATATCGTTCGATAGCTAGTGGCGTCTTGTATGTTGGAAAGTAAGACTCACAATCAGCATTTAGTTTTGCATTAGAGTGCCGTTGTGCATCCATGGCACTCTCAAATTGCATGTAGAATTCAACCAGGCTAAAGTGAGGATTGGAAAATTCACCAAAAAAGTTGTTCTCGCTCTCAGATCTGGATGTTGTACGAAGTAATCCCGCCATGTACAAATCCCTAAAATAAGAATGAATCCAATCCTTGCGGATGTCATACATGTTTGAAAACCAAACATGATTTTGCAATCCAAATTCCTCCATTATGGAGGTCCATTTTTTCTCAAACACATCAGGTTCTAGATAGTGGCTCCACACAACATAGTTTAGCTTAGACATGAATTCAGAATTCTTACTCAAAACAGGGCCGACCTTGGATGAGACTTTAGACATTATATGCCACATGCAAAAGCGATGGGCAGATGTTGTAAACACCTTAGTGAATGCAATTTTCATGGATGGGTCTTGATCCGTGATGACACAAATTGGTTCACGACCCATTGCATCAAGAAATTGTCTAAAAATCCACACATATGATTCCACGTCCTCCTTTAACAATAGCCCAGTTGCGAAAGTGACACATTTCTTGTGATTGTCAACACCTGTGAATGGAGCAAAAACCATATTGTACCTACATGAATATGATACAATTCATTAAAACCAGATCATTTATATAAAACTATAACATGTATACAGAAATTAAAAAATAAAAATGGTTTTAAAATATTTAATTGTGTACAGGAGCATGTTTGTGTAATTAAAAGAGATTGTTTTCCGATTCAGTTTACTAGTGGATCATAGGTGGGAAAAAAGTGCAGTCATGTTTGTAAACAGTGCATTAAGGGAATGACATCGTGGATCTACAAAAAATAATATGATAACAACATGCGATTAAAAAATATGTTACCTGTTTGTGCCATATGTTGCATCAAACGAAACAACATCACCAAACATGGTATAGTTAACCCTAGCAGTCGAGTCGCACCAGAAAAGCCTAGTCAATTGGTCATTTTCATCTACGTCATAATTAAAAAAAAGGCGGAACAAACTTCTTTTTTTCTAAACAACTTCTCAATTAGCATCTGTGCATCCACACCAGCAATGTATGCCTTCAAATCCCTTTTAAAGTTTTTAAAGTCAACGGACGTTGCACCGATATTAGAATATCCACCAACGGATTCCTTATATAATCTATAACATTTCATGGTGCCAATATTAGCCTTTGTACAGTTCACAATGAACTTTTGGTGGTCAATATCCAAACTACTATTCACCTTCAAAAATGGTTTCGCTAAATTAGATGTCATAGGATGATTATGACGCTCTTCAAAGCCAAACACTGAGTATCCACGCAGGCCACAAAATTTGAAAGCAATGCGCGCTTTACATCCAACTCTATTGGATAACCGGCATCTCTTTTTTGGATTGGGATCCTCAGGTTGGTTGCTTTGTTCTGCCACCGGGTAGTTTATAGGTGTTTGACTATTTCCATTTTGAGGTGTTTGGCTATTTACATTCTCTTTGAACCCCGCTCTACTACAAACGACATACTTCAACTTTAATGTACCATCCCTAGCTTTTGAAGAAGTACCGAGGCGAATACCAAAACCAGTAATTGCAGCATACTCCTTATAATATGCAATACCCTCCTTCAAACTTTTAAAAATCTGACCAATATACGGCTTCACATCATCATTACAATTGGGAATCCAATATTTGGTCTTACCGGGTGATATTTTCAACTTAGAACAAATATCGGGTGATGTAGGTGAAATTGGAGTGTCATTATTGGAGAAACTAGCAGAAGAAGAGTGAACATAGGAGTCTGCATGTATAGAATATTTGGGATTATCATTAAAAAATTTAAAGAAAACACAATCATGAGAACATTTTTTAATCACAAAATGCGGGAGTGACTTATGGTGACATTTAAGTGCAGATAAATAAGAGCAATGGTGCATTAAAAAATTTAAATGGTGGATACAAAACACCAGAAAAGACAATGTACAGGGCCAAAAAAAGAAGGAACATAGTCCGGATTAAGAAAGTTGAAAACGATAGACCATACGACGTTGCATGAGTGATAAAACGTAAAAAAAGATTAACAAATCAAATATCAACTTCAAATGATATAAAAGTAGTGCACTAAAATAACATACATACCGTTCTCCATTAAAGGATACCCAATAACACTTTGAATAACATAGGATACAAAGGAGAGATGATATGATCTTTATTAGGATTAGGTAGAAGTCTTGAACAGCCACGTAATTTGGTACGTAATGCATTCAAAACAAAACAAATATTAGTTACATATAAAACAAATTAAAAATAAAATAAAAAGGATCGTACGTAATAATACCTGGGTTGAGCTTGGACGATCGTACGTAATAATGTTAAGAGCAGAAGAAGATACAAGCCTGCAGCAGAAATGGAAATGAATAAGCCGATGGAAGATGATGAATGTAATACGGAAAGTTATTAATCAAGAAAAAAACGGCAAGTTATTAATCAAGGAGCAAAATAAATTCACTTACCATTATGGAGCTTTGGTAAAACGGAAGGAAATGATTTGGAAGGACAATAATACCCCATGCGCAATGCTTCAAATCAAGGCCATCCTTTTACCTACGTAAGAAATTAAATGGATGAGATGACTTCTCATTTTTCATGATAAGAGGTGTTTTTATATGATCCTGAATCTATCTATATATATATATATATATATATATATATATATGGAAGAGTTCAAATAAAATGACATCTTCCCGTGCAAAGTGCGAAATTTGCACTTTTTCATGTTTCGCTTTCACTTTTTTGTGTTTCCGTTGCACTTTTTTGACATTGCGATTTTGGCCAAATTCGGCCAAAACCACAGTGGAAATTTTGTAAATAAACCAATTGTTTTTGCTGACGCGAAAAAGTGCAACGAAAACAAGCAAAAGTGCAAGCGAAACATGAAAAAGTGCAAATTTCGCACTTTGCACGGGAAGATGTCTTTTTATTTGAACTCTCCCCTATATATATATATATATATATATATATATATATATATATATATATATATATATATATATATATATAAGAGATCAAATACAAACCATGCTTAAAATACTAACCTACAAACTCAATAATATGCATCACTTTGAACTTCAATATGCATTAAAAATAATGTAAAGATGCAGGGATGTGATCACATACAAACTAGTCCTCTCATTCGAATCATCTTTACATTATTTGTATTGCACATTGAAGTTCGAAGTGTTTCATATTATTCAAGCCGTAAAACAGAACTTTCATATTTACATTATTTGTATTGCATATTGAAATTCAAAGAGTGCATCTTTACATTATTTGTACTGCATATTGAAGTTCAAAGTGTTGCATATTATTAGGTGTTGGGATATTGACCTAGAGGCCCAATACCCAGATCGAGAAGGCCCAAGATATCCGGCCCAAGCAACGGGCCCATCACTCTATGATGAATAGATCCAGTAAGAAGACATACCAAACGGAGTTCGACCCAAATAAAGGTTGGCCCAGTAAGAAGACATACCGAACGGGATTCGGGCTATATATCATACTTGGGCCAATTTGACAGCATCTTCAGCACAGCCCAATATCCCGTTCGAGCAACGGCCAACCAGCAAGTGGCCAGGTGCAATTAATGCCAGACTATGACATCAGCAAGTGGAAGTATGGATGACCAAGTCGGTGGAACAACGGCCAATCAGCATGGGGCAGCCCATGCTCTCCATTAGTATAAATAGAAGGTTTCAAGTCATTGTAAGGGTTAGCATTTCAATACTCAGGCTCTAGAATAGCATCATTGCTCTTATTTCTTGTATTAAGGCATAGTTTCCGACCTACCGATCGGGAAATTCCTTGTAATCAGATTGGTTAATTAATACAAGTGAGCTTTCGAGTGTTAGTTAGTTCAGATCTTATATTTTTTACACACCTTGATTCTGTGCCATTCCTGATATATCTAAAGTTCGTATTGGGCTTTCGGATCTACGGGATTTACCCTCAACATTGGCGCCGTCTGTGGGAAACTTGCAAAAAGTTTCACATTCAAATCATTCAAAAACCTCTATTTTCAAAAATGGTCAGAATCAGTTCCTATCATACAAGCAACGGTTCACACCGTCACGGGAGGAGTCACACCCCGGGGAGTCAAAACCCTCAGGGACAATCCAGTCGAGGATCGTATCTTCGTTTTGATGGGGATTTTGTGATTCCCGAATCTCTGAGAAGAAATCCTCAGGCCATGCGTGACATGGCCCAGGTCATGCAGCATATGGCGAACGAGGAGGAAGGAGGTTCCAGCTTTACAGGGGAGACTCCACGCACGGAAACAACCACAGCATCATCCTGTTCGCATGCCTATCGGGATAATCGACGTAGCGCCCCACCAACAGCGCACCACAGTCCCAGTGACCGAACCCCGATCGGGTCACAAACTAGAGGACCAACTCCCGTTGGTCATCATTTCCAGTATGCCGAGCGGGAAAATACTAGGTCCCCTCAACGACAATGGGACCGGGACTGTACGGATATGAGGGTTCCACCACCGCCCCCTTTGACGGCCCAGGAGGAAGAAATGGCCGAGATGAGGAGGCAAATGAATGAAATGCGAGACCAGATGAACAGGGCGCCTGTACAACCTGCCCCGGTTCAGCTGGGAATTACTTCCCCATTTACTAGGGAACTCATGTACGCAGATATCCAAGGGGATGCCAAACCCCCGACCGGCCAAATCTATGACGGGGTGGGAGATCCCCACGTACATCTGAGGAGTTACCAAGGGGGACTCATGCTGCTAGGAGCACCCGAGGCCGCCATTTGCCGGTTGTTTTTCAGCACGCTCAGGGGGCCTGCCCAGGAGTGGTTCGGGACACTGCAGCCCGGGTCAATCAACAGCTTTGCCGAGTTATCGGCGTTATTCTTGGCTCAGTTTGCTTCCAGTGCCAATCCCAAACGGCACTTCAGCTATTTGACCAGCGTGAAGCAAAACGCCAAAGAGACCCTCAATCAATTCCTGAAAAGGTGGATGGATGAAACTTTAACGGTGGGAAACATGACGGATGATACCGCCATTACCCTATTCACAAATGCTCTCCGAACGGGGGAGTTGTACAAAGAATTGAAGAAAAATCCGGGTACGGTGTACGCCGAGGTATTAGATAGGGCTCGCAAGCATGCCGCCATAGAAGAGGAGATAATGATCAGGGATAAGGTCATTGCGCCTGCTGCCCCGATCAGAATGGCCGATCGGCTGGGTCCTAGCCCAGCGGCCGCTTTACCTCCCAAACAAGGGAGATTTACACCCCTGGTCCTATCAGTAGCGACCATCTATCAGCACGAGAGGGACAATATTCCCCTCCCGACTGATTCTGGACAGTTCATGGGAGCGGATGATAATGCTTTCTGTAAATATCACAACAGAAAGGGTCATGCCACCAATGCCTGCAGGGCCCTACAAACAGCCATTGAGGATCTGATCCGAAGGGGCCATCTGGGCAAATATGTGAATAAAGATCCGAATGCTATGGGCACGTTGAAACCGGTCAGGAAACCTAATAGCTGGCGTCGGGATGCCCAACGTGACACTCAGCCTCAAAATGATGTGTATGTTCCCCCTAGAGATGAACCAGAGGGCTCGGGAGGCCCTGGAAAGAAACCTCGGATGGAGGTCAAGGTTAGATTCGGGGGCGGGGAGACAGGGGATTCGAATGCCGAACGGAAAAGGTTCGAGCGAAGTCTGTATGTGGGATCCGTCTCCGCTCCCCCCCAGAAGAAAGGAAGGACAGATCCGATCACGTTCGGGCCAGCTGATTTACCCAACTCTCCAAGCCCACACAGGGATGAACTGGTGGTAAGCATGTGTATTGACAATGCTTTGATCCGCCGAGTACTGGTCGATACCGGGAGCAGTGTGAATGTATTGTATCTACAATCATTCGAGAAAATGGGTCTGCAAAGAAGCCAACTGACCCACCTACGGACCTTGCTGGCAAGTTTCACCGGTAACTGCATCGAGGCTGAGGGGACCATCCAATTAATGGTTGAAATTGGGGATGAAACCCACAAAGCGTCACTCCGAATGACGTTCATGGTGGTAGATATAAAGTGTGCCCACAATGCCATTTTGGGCCGACCGGGATTGGAAGATCTGGAGGCAATAGCCTCTGTCCGCCACTCATGCATCAAATTCCCTACAGACACTGGGGTTGGGGTGGCCAGAATTGATCCGACGACAGCCCGGACATGTTATCGGGAGGCCCTGAAACAGATGAACACTCGTGGGATGCGGGTAAATACCATTGAAGTGGAAACCCACCGAACGGAGTTCGAGGCACACCCAGAGCCCGCAACTCTTCTTGAACAGATCGATCTAGATCCCCCCCCGAACCGAAAGGTAGCTATCGGGATAGATCTGGAGTCCGATATCCGGGATGGCGTGATTGCCATCCTAAAAACGTTTCAGGTGCTGTTTGCCCGAGGGCCAGAAGATATGCCCGGTATTGATCCGGAGATAATATGTCACAAACTTGCCGTTCGGGCTGATGCAAAACCAGTCCAGCAGAAGAAACGGTACCAGGCAACCGAACGACGGGAATTCACAAAACGGGAGGTGGCCACCTTGCTGAAAATAAAGCACATCCGTCCGGTAATCCACGTAGAATGGCTATCCAATGTGGTTCTAGCCCCAAAACAATCCACTTGGAGAATGTGCGTGGATTACTCTGACCTGAATAAAGCTTGTCCCATGGATCCTTATCCAGTGCCGAGGATCGATCTGTTAGTAGATGAAACTGCCGGATGTGAATTGCTGAGCTTCATGGATGCTTTCCGGGGTTATCATCAGATATTCATGCACCCGGCTGATGCAGAGAAAACGGCGTTCGTTACTTCGGATGGCGTGTTTTGCTATATCGTCATGCCATTCGGGTTAAAGAACGCAATGGCAACTTTTCAGAGGATGATCGGGATGCTGTTCAAAGATGTGCTGGGGGTCACAATGGAATCTTATGTTGATGACATCCTGATCAAAAGCAGGAAGAAGGAAAACCATGTCCTAGACATAGAGAAGGTGTTCAGGATAATGCAGAATGCAAATATGAGGCTGAATCCCAAAAAATGTGCTTTTGCTGTAAAAGGGGGCAAATTTTTGGGATACATGATGAGCGATAAAGGGATTGAGCCCAATCCTGAAAAGGTAAAGGCAATTGTGGATATGGAGGCTCCAAGAAATCTCAAAGAAGTGCAGAGATTAACCGGTCGGTTAGCAGCCCTGAGCAGATTCCTATCCAAACTGGCCGATTGAGCTATTCCATTCTTCCAGATCATGAAGAAAGCCAACCCTTTTGAATGGACGGCCGAATGCCAAACGGCCTTTGAAGATTTCAAGACGTATCTGTCTTCCCCCCTGGTCTTGACAAAACCCGAACCAGGGGAACATCTGTATATGTACCTAGCTGTAGCTGACCTGGCCGTAAGCACAGTACTGTTGAAAGAAGAAGATGGCGTTCAACGGCCAATCTATTTTGTAAGCAAGGCTTTGAACGACCTGGAAACCAGGTACACTTTGCTAGAGAAAACTGTACTGGCCCTAATAGCTGCCATTAAACGTCTGGCCCCATATTTCCAGACCCACCCGGTAACTGTGTATACTACTCAGCCACTAGCCACCATCTTGAGAAATCCTATGGCAAGTGGACGCATTACCAAGTGGAGCCTCCTGATCGGGCAATACGAGGTGGATTTCAAGCCTCGACCTACTATCAAAGGGCAGGCCTTGGCAGACTTCATTGCAGAATGTACCGCCCGGCCCTCAGAAACAGATTCAGAGAACAATGGGCTGGATAACTGGTGGGAAATATATGTGGATGGTGCAGCTAGTGCCAAGGGTTGTGGAGCTGGAGCTGTGATTACATCGCCCGAGGGGTTCAAAGCATATTATTCTATCCATTTTGACTTCAAGGTAACCAACAATGAGGCTGAATATGAGGCTCTCATTGCTGGTTTAAAATATGCAAAGGCCCTGGGTGCCGATCGGTTAAAAGTCCGGTCGGGTAGTCAATTGGTAGTACATCAAGTAAACGGCACTGCCGAGGCTAAAGAAGAGAGAATGAAGGCCTACAAGGAGATAGTTGAGGAGCAGATAAGTAAATTTGAACAGGTGGTGCTCGACCAAATATCCAGGATTGAAAATACTGAAGCAGATATCCTGTCCAAATTAGAAAATGCAGCGTTCGACGATCGGGCACAGGAGATCTCGGCTCATATCCAACGTTTTTCCCATCGGGAAACATTGGCGACCCCAGCAATCATGGTGCTCCAGATCGAGGCCATATCTTATGCCGTCCCGAGCTGGGTCGTAGATATGACCAACTACCTGAAAGACGGAACCCTCCCACAAGATAAAAATCCTGCTTATCAAATAAAGTGCATCCAGAGGAGGGCTTCCATGTTCGAATTTGTAGATGGGCAGCTGTACAAAAAGACATTTGGTGGGCCGTATCTGAAATGCCTCCCACCCGATCTAGCGGCGGCTGTAATGGAAGAAATTCATGAAGGTACCTGTTCCAGCCACCAAGGGCCCAAGACACTGGCCAGAAAAATCATCTTACAAGGGTATTATTGGCCGACTATCCAATAGGACTGCTTTGCACATACTAGGAAATGTAAGGTATGCCAACTATACGCACCGATCCCCGGACGGCCTGCCACTTTCTACACTCCAATGACGGCGGCCCTTCCATTCGCAAGATGGGGAATAGACCTGTTAGGTCCTCTACCTACGGCACCTGGAAACAACAAGTATATCATCGTGGGGATAGATTACTTTACCAAATGGGTAGAGGCCGAGCCACTGGCCAGCATCACAGATGTTAAATGCCATAAGTTTGTCTGGAAAAATATCATTTGTCGATTCGGAATCCCTGAACAGATTGTAACTGACAATGGAAGGCAGTTCGTGAGCCGGAATTTTGAGAACTACCTGGTCAAATGGGGAATCAAGCATTCCAGAGCGTCCGTGGCATACCCTCAGGCGAATGGCCAGGTAGAAAATATGAACCGAACTATCATGGATGGTATGAAGAAAAAGCTGGAAGAATACTCCTCATCGTGGCCTGATCAGTTGAATTATATTCTATGGACTTACAGGACCACACCCCGAACGGCCACGGGAGAGACTCCATTTGCCCTTGCCTATGGTTTTCAGGCCAAAGTACCAACGGAGATCCTAGTTCCCACACACCGAACGGTGTATTACAGCCCAGAACAGAATGAAGATAACTTACGGGCCGAATTGCATTTTATAGAAGAAAGAAGGGATCTGGCAGCTGCACGAATGGAAGAGTACCACAGAGCCACAAGAAGATACTTTGATAAGCAAATTAAAATTCGTTCAATCGAGGTAGGGGACCTGGTGCTAAGAAAGCGAGAAAAAAGCAAACCGCTCGAAGGTGGAAAAATGGCACAAAATTGGGAAGGCCCCTACCAAATATGTAAGAAGTATGCTTCAGGAACGTTTGGCCTACAAAATACCGAAGGTCGACCGGCAGGAACTTGGAATGTGGAGCATCTAAGGAAAATTTATCAGTAAAAACGGCTGTTGCCACCTCTAAAAAAATGTGTATAGAGAGGGAGACATAACTTCCACAAAAACTCAGCCCATGATTAACACGATCATTCTGGATGACCGAATGAGGAACGGGTTAACTACATGGAAGGAAAATCAATTCTCAGCTAAGGGAGTTTTTGACCCTAGATTTATGAAAGAATAAAGGGATAAAAAACGGCTTGAAGAATTGAGGCTCAGAAAATCGGTGCCCGTGGTGTTGGTCTCGGTTATACTGGATACAGTCTAGAGGGGGGGGGGTGAATAGACTGTATTGGTTTTTAGCTTTTTAAACTAAGTACCAGATTTACAGAATAGCCAGTTCTGTTGACAGAACAGACTGGCAGCGGATGGGGTTCTGGTAGGGAGTTCTGTTGATTTAGCCTCAGAGAAGCAAAGGCAGTAGGCCTTCTGTTAACTCGTAGAACAAGTTCTGTTGAACACAGATACCAAGTCCAAGGAGTTAGACAGTTCTATCTAAGTGCAAATATTAAAGCAGTAAGTAAACGACACCAGGAATTTTTATAGTGGTTCAAGGAACAACTTGTTCCTCTAGTCCACTGTTCCACTAAGCTGTAAAAACTTCCGTTTACAAAGCCTTAGTCCTAGCACTTAAGAAGCACTCCACGTCTTCTTCAAGTCTAGATGTCTCCTGGGATGCACTGCCTGGCTTCCTTTAAGACTGGTCCTTTCACTGAGCTTCCAGAAAGTATCACCACTTTACTACTCCAGTTACTTGGACGTCCTTCTTGTAGCAAGAAGAGTTTCTGTTGAAACAGGGGTTCCTCCAACTAGCTTCGTTACATAAGATTTGTATGTGATGAGCTTGAAGAGTTGAAGAACACTTGGAACTTTGCTTGAGTTGGAAAAAGTATTTTTCCAACTTCTGCCTTCTCTTGTAGAAGATAATGAGTTTGAATCTCAAGGAGGCTTTTTGCTTTTCAGAGTTTGAATATCTTGTATGAAGAGTTGTAGCAATGTGTAGCAAAAGTTGCAAAGTTATCCGGTTGTTCTTCGTAGTGTATCTTTTATACTGAGGTTGTCTTCCCGTTGGAGGAGTAGGAGGACAACTGCATTAAATGAACGATCAGTTGACTTGACTAGTAGAGCCCGGTAAAGTTGGCGGGTTACTATTTTGGGATAAAGTATTCCTGTCAAGTCGATTACTCTAAGAACTTTACAAAGGAAAAATTCTAATACATAATTTCTAAAGGGGTACTCTAAAGTCCTAATTAATCTAGCATCATCAAAATCTAAATACAATTATTCCTTACAATTTCCCCCTTTTTGATGATGCCAAAACCCTTTAACTATTTCCAGAGAAGTGCCTTCACCATAAAGAAAGATTAAGTTTAAAAACTTCCATTAAAATCTTGGTGGGCAACTTGGCATAGGAAAATAGTAAGAGTACGATACATTCAGATAGCAGAATATAACAGAAATAAACAAACACAAGCAGAAGGCAAAAAGACAAGAATTTGAGGAAAAGCACTTCAAAGTAAGAAGGCAGAGATGTGATTTTATTAGATAAGTTTTACAGAGTTTAAACCTTACACATTCTCCAGATTAGCTGCCTGTAGAGCTTCTTCCTCTAGTCTTTGAAGCCTGAGCAGTTCTTCGTTTATTTCAACTCTGATTTTGAAAAGATTGCCAGACCTTTGATAAGATGCCCAAATTGGAGAAAGCTTGCAGTCCAAATAGTTGAGAACACCTTCATGTATAGTCTTTCCTGGGACAATGTTCTTCTTATACCATTCTTCAGCTTCTTCTAGTGATCCCCCATACCTAACTCTGACAACACCATCTTTGTCCAGATAGAGGTGCTGTTGTTGGGTAGGAGTCATTTTGGCCTTCATCTCCTCAAATTGAGCTCTGTCAATTTTCTGAGAACCACCCAATCTCCATTCAGTGAAGTCAAAAACTTTCTTCTTCTTGGTGCTCTTCTTTACTGGAGATGGGGGTCTAGGTATGCCTGCTGCTCTCTTCTTCTGTAGGGCAGCTTCAATGTAGGTAGCCGGATCTACTGCAGGCTCAGCAGAGGAGGGTGCCCCAGTAGGAGTTCTGTGGGACCTAGGCCTGGTCTATTGAGGGTCCTCTTCCCCCTTTTTGGCATCATTCAGATCTTCTATCATAAGACTGATCTTCTGGAATTCTGAGGCCTGAGTGGAGGCTATCTGCTCCAGGGCCTCTGGTAGAGTCTGGGTGACAGAGGTAAGGCCTTCAATGAGACCTTGCTGCTTCTGTATGGCAGAGAAGATGTCCTTGTTATTGGCTTCAAGGAGCACCATCTTCTGATAACGGTCTCTGTCAGTAGATAGAAGTACTTGAGCCTGTTCTTGATGAACTCTGCACATTGCCTCAATAGAGGTCAAGTGCCTCTCTGTCCTGGCATCAGATTCCTTCAGAGCTTCAAGATGCTCTGAGATAGTGTGAATTGCATGTCCTTGACTCAGGAGAGTCTGTTGAAAGATAGAGAGAGTGTTGTGGATGCCTACCACTTCTGTTGACAGGGCATCTGTTCTGGCAGAGATGAGGCTATGAAGTTGTTGAGAGTTCCAGTGAGGTTCTCAAAACGATCAGAGATGAACTGCATACCTGAGTTTAGATTGTCATTCACATGAGCAAGGTGCCCATAGTGTTTGTCATTGATCTCTATCAGTTTGTTCATGCCTTGGAGGATCTATCCTCCAAATGCTTCAGCAGATTTAACAAATTTGTTGAAGGGAATGTTGTTCTGTTGTCCATCAGCTTGAGGCATCTCTAGACCTCTTCCCTTAGGCAAAGGATGATGTTCTTGGACAAATGATAGAGATTTAACAAGCTGTTCATGTTCCAGTTGAGTCAGAGGAGGGGTCTTCTGTCTCTTGGATGTGGCCTTGTAGGATTTGCTGATCATGAATCCATCCATGTCAGAGGAAACTACATAAGGAGAGTAGATAGGTTTTCTGTTGCGGACTACCTTCTTTTTTTCTGAGGGAAGGATTGGGGGCAACAGAGTCCCTAGAATAACCTTTTGGTGCAGAGATGAGAGAGACAGTTGTAGGGTCTGAGTCTCTGAGAAACCATACAGGTTTAAGGTTCTCTGCAGGTTGTTGTGGGGGAGGTGATTCTGGAGGAGGGGATTGATGATCAGATTCAGAGGATGAAGAGGAGATCTGTTGGGGTGAGGGGTTCTGGTGCTGGGGTGAAGATTGAACAGGTGAGGGATTCTGTTGAGGGGGGGGGGATGGTGGAGGTGAAGGTGAACGGTTTCTGAATGGAACAATTGCTCTGCAGGGAGATGCAATTTTTTGTTTGGGTGATTGAGGAGGGGTGGGGGTTTTCTGTTTAGGAGATATAGGTTCAGGGTGTTCTGGTGGAGGAGTTCTGGTGCTGGAAGGAGGTGAGGAAATGTGGGGTTCTGTTGGGATAATAACAGAAGGGGTTGGAGAATTTACCTCAATGATGTTCTCCATGAGCAAGGAAGTCCTCCACTCCTTGATATGCTCCATCATTGCTTGTCCTTCTGATTTGAGTACAGAGGACTCTCCTGGGTTGAGATGGGGTTGCACAGAGTCTGTTGCCATCTTTGTGAACAACCATTCTTCAAAGGCTTCAATTTCTTCCTCTTCTAGAGGTTTGACAGCCTCCTCTGAGGGTGAGGAGATAAGAATGGCCTTCCCCTTGTAGCTCGCCTTCTTCTTCTCAAGAACAGAGTGAAGAAAGTTGAGGGCAAAGCACTTTGAGACATCATCAGTCCCAACCCAGTTCAGAATGGCTTCCTCTTCTGGCTCATAATGATCAAAATACTGGATTATTTTGGAGAGGGGTCCCATTCTCCACCTTCTCCATTCAAGAACCCGGGTAAACTGTCTGTCTAGCAAGGACAGATACCCATCTTTGACAGGACTGGGGTGTTCTGTTGAAGTAGACACCCTGTTCTGTTCAGGAGATGCAGCAGAGGTGGGGATCTCTGGTCCCCCCTGAGTGTCTGCCACTCCCTCAGATACAGAAACCACAGGTTTAGTAACCTTCTCCTTGGGTTTTGTGGTCCTCTTCCTCTTCTGTCCAGCCTTTGGAGGAGCAACAGGTGCTTCCTTTTCGGTCTTCTTCTTCTTCTTCTTCTTCTTCTCAGCAGAAGGGGCTACAGAGAGAGGTTTCTGTACCTTCTCTCCCTGTTGTCTTTTAGCCTCAAGTTGAAGCTGTCTCTTCATTTCTGCCTTTATGGCTTTCTCCCTATTAGGAGAAGCAGTCAAGAAAATTACCTTGGTGTGATCCAAGGCTGAAGCCTTCCTCAAGTGTACCCCTTGTTTGAGGAGCACTTCTGAAATCAGTAGTCCATGTCCTAGCTTCCCAGAGTAGAGGCTAGTTTTTGGGTTCTTCTTCTTGATCACTTCAATCAGGGACTTCACCATGACTTGTCCCCAATTGATGTTTACCCCATGATGCACTGCATAAAGTGCCTTTGCATTGGCAGTTGTGACATCATCTGTGGAGGTGTACTTGCACCATAAACATTTGTGGAAAATGTTTATGAGCAGCTCAAATTCCTTCTTGAGCAAGTTCTTCTTGATGTTGACCTTCTCTACTTCTTCCCCTTTTCTGCAGAACTTCTTCTTGAATTCTGGCAGAGGAATGTCAGTATCCTCCAAGTCGAGTAGAGAGGCCATGCCTTCCCTTTGTTGAATGTTGAAGATGTTATTGATGACGTCAGCATCAATCAGAACTTCTTCTTCTTGGACGACGGAGGAGATGGTTTCATCCTTGAAGGATGCGTTGAGATAGAACTCAACGGTGTCAACGTTGCTGCAGGCTTCATAATTATGAGAGATGACCTTGCTCAGTTGACATTGTGACAGCCCGTCAACAATGGAGGTCATCCTCTCCTTTTTCTCTGCGAACCTGGGTAGTACTTCCAGTTCGCATCTCATGCCTGTCAGTACATTCTTCAGGAGGGTTGCCTTTTGTTCCTTTGAGAGATCGGAGAAGCTCAAGAAAGCCATGGAGTTTACTGCGGTTAGAGAGTTTTTGGAGAGATAAGAGTTCAAAAGCTTGAGAGTTATGAGAGCAGTGACGGTTTAGGTTTGCGAAAGGGGGTTTTATGGATATGGGTTAGTGGACGTTTGAGATAATTTACGGTTCCAAGGTACCAATAAATGTAAAAAGGGGCGCAGTAAATAAACGGGGGCGCAGTAAATATTATACGGCTTGATACCGTTTTAAGGGTAAAAGGGTAAAAGACCTTTACTAATTTACTAGGTCACCCGGTTTACAGAGTTTTCTAAGTCCACCACCTTCTGTTAAACAAGAGAGGGTTTTTCTGTAGAGGGGGGGTTTTCTGTTGCTGAGGTGTTCTGCCAGGGTAGGGATCAGAAGAGGTTGACAGAAGGGGTTAACAGAAGAGGTTCTGCTACAGGTATTCTGTCAACAGCAAATGAGCAACAGAGGGCCTTCCTTTTCATCTTTCCCTTGGAATCTCATCCATCATTCCCAATTCCTCTCTCAGTTTGTTGAACCTAGCCTCAGGAAGAGGCTTTGTCAGGATATCTGCAAGCTGGTCTTCTGTTGGCACATGTTTCATGCAAATGTGCTTCTTCTCAACATGATCTCTGATGAAGTGATGTCTGATCTCAATGTGCTTTGTACTGGAATGAAGAACTGGGTTCTGAGTGATAGCAATGGCACTGGTGTTGTCACACAACAGCTTGATCTCCTTTGCTTGAATTCCATAGTCCTTCAGTTGTTGCTTCATCCAGAGTAGCTGAGCACAGCAACTCCCAGCTGCAATGTACTCAGCCTCAGCTGTACTTGTTGAGATGGAGTTCTGCTTCTTGCTAAACCAGGAAACAAGCCTTCCTCCTACCAATTGGCAGTGACCAGAGGTGCTCTTTCTGTCTAGTCTGCAACCTGCAAAATCTGAGTTAGAATAACCAATTAGTTCAAAGTTACCTCCCTTTGGATACCATAGGCCTGCATTTGGATTTCCTTTGATGTATCTGATGATTCTCTTTGCAGCACTTAGATGGCTTTCCTTGGGCTTTGATTGGTATCTGGCACAGATTCCAACAGAGAATGAGATGTCTGGTCTGCTTGCAGTTAGATACAACAGAGATCCTATGATTCCTCTATATGTTGTTGCATCTACATCCTTTCCTTCATCATCTGGACCAATTCCTTGTGAAGTGTTCATGGGAATCTTCACTGATGATTTGCCTTCCACTCCAAACTTTTTGATCAGATCTCTGGTGTACTTCCCTTGATTGATAAAGATCCCTTCTGGAACTTGTTTGACTTGAAGTCCTAGGAAGTAACTGAGTTCTCCCATCATACTCATTTCAAATTGACTCTGCATCACTTGAGAAAATTTCTTGCACAGTTCTGGATTAGTACTACCAAATATAATATCATCAACATATATTTGTACTAACAGAATATGATTAGCAACAGAGATTTGAAATAGAGTTTTGTCAACCTTTCCTTTAGTAAACCCATGGTTCACCAGGAAAAGGGACAATGTGTCATACCAGGCTCTGGGAGCTTGCTTAAGACCATAGAGGGCCTTTTTAAGCTTGTAGACACAAGAAGATTGAGTAGGAATGACAAAACCTGATGGTTGTTCCACATAAACTTCCTCTTCAAGATCTCCATTCAGAAATGCACTCTTGACGTCCATCTGGTAGACCTTGATGTTGTTGTAGGCAGCATAGGCTAGGAAGATTCTGATGGCTTCAAGTCTGGCAACTGGTGCAAAGGTCTCATCAAAATCTATTCCTTCTTCTTGACAGTATCCTTTAGCTACCAGCCTTGCTTTATTCCTTACAATGTTGCCATCTTCATCAGCTTTGTTCTTGAATACCCATTTGGTTCCAATGACATTCTGGTGCTTTGGCCTAGGAACAAGTTCCCATACTTTGTTCCTTTCAAACTGAGTAAGTTCTTCTTGCATAGCATTGATCCAATCTGAGTCTGCAAGAGCTTCTTCAACTGTCATAGGTTCCATCTGAGATATATAGCAGGCAATCATTGCTTCTCTTCTAGATGTGGATCTGGTTTGAACTGCACTTCTGATTTGACCAATCACTTGGTTAGGAGGATGATCTCTTAACCATGTTAGGTCTGGTTTTGTCAGCTGCTGTCTTGGTCTCTCTGGTTCCTCATCTTCAGAGTCTTCATCTTCATTCAACAGAAGGGGGTTTGGTGCAGGTGTTGGAAATGCAGGGTTGTCTGCTACCTCTTCTGTTGGTTCTGGTGTTCTGTCTTCTATGCTGACTTCCTTGAGAATCTCTGTTACCTCTTTAACAGAGGTGCTTTCATCAAACTTCACATGTATAGATTCTTCAACATGTAGAGTCCTTCTGTTGAGTACTCTATAGGCTTTACTGGTGTTTGAATAGCCTATAAAGACTCCTTCATCAGCCTTTTCTTGAAATACTTTCAGATGCTCCTTTCCATTGTTAAGAATGTAGCACTTGCATCCAAATACATGAAAGTAGCTGATGTTAGGTTTTCTTCCCTTCCAGAGTTCATAAGGGGTCTTCTGGTGATTCTTGTTGATCATGCTTCTATTCTGAGTATAGCATGCAGTGTTGATTGCTTCAGCCCAATATCTCATAGGCAATCCAGATTCTGCAATCATTGTTCTTGCAGCTTCCTTTAAGGTTCTATTCCTTCTTTCTGCTACGCCATTCTGTTGAGGGGTTCTGGCGGCAGAAAGTTGATGAAAAGTTCCATTCTGATCACAGAAGTCCTTTATGACTTGGTTGACAAATTCAGTTCCTTTGTCTGATCTGATTGTCTTCACTTTCAAGTTCTTCTCAGTCTGAAGTTGCTTTAACAGAGATGGCAACTTCTGAAGAGTTTCATTTTTCTTTGATAGAAAAACAGTCCATGTATATCTGGAATAGTCATCAACCATGACTAGGGCATATTTCTTGCCACCAACGCTTGGGGTCTCAACAGGTCCAAATAAATCCATGTGAATCAGATTTAGAGGACTTGTAGAAAGATCTCCAGCAATGGGTTTGAATGAATTCTTCACTTGTTTGCCTTTCTGACATGCACTGCAGAGGGTCTCCTTCTTGTACACAATGTCTGGTAGCCCTTCTACAATGTGTTCTCTGGCCAGTTTGTTGATTGTTTTGAAATTCAAATGGTTGAGCTTTTTGTGCTAGTCCCAGCTTAGTTTTGAATCTCCTTTGGCTATCAGGCAAACTCCATCTTTGGTAGTGTTCCAATCAACTACATAGATGTTCTTCTTCCTTGATGCTGTAAGAACCACTTCCTTTGTTGTCTCATGCTTCACATAGCAGAAGTCCTTTGTGAATTCAACAGTGTAGCCTTTGTCACAGAATTGGCTAGCACTTAGCAAGTTGAACTTCAGTCCTTTGACATATGAGACATCATCAATGATTATCTGGTTCCTGATCAGCTTTCCTCTTCCTTTTGTTTGACCTTCTTTGTCATTACCTCCAAAGGTAACTCTAGGTCCTTTGCATTTCTGGAACTCAGTTAGGCAACTTCTGTCACCTGTCATGTGCCTGGAGCATCCACTATCAATAAACCATTCTTGTTCAGAGATGGCTCCAGCACACAGTTCCTGCAAGATCAAAAGAAAGATTTAGGTACCCAAGCAATGCTGGGTCCTGGGGGGTCATGGAGTCTGGGTAGTTGGTACCATTTTGGTTTCATCAAGTGAAACCTTGGTGGGTGGTACCCATTGTCCACCTGGTAGTTGTAGTAAACTGAAGTGTGATTCACTTTGGGCAGATGCTTGTGAGGGTCATGCTTCCTGTTTACATACTTTTGCATAGCCTTTTTTGTTGGAAAGAAGTCCCATATACTATCAAGAGCAGAGGGACGGTTAACCTTGGGCTTCTGAAGTTGACCAGCCAACCTCTTCTGCCTGAAGTTAACTCTCTCTTGATATTTGCCCTTCTGGTGATCATTTCTGGCACGATTGACATGAGGTTGTCTGTCAATGAATGGTCTTTAATTTTTGTTATCTTGAAAACCTTTTCTGTTGTTAGGTTTTCTGCCAGGTTCATTATTTTTCAAAAAGGGTTTCTGTTGAACCTTTATCTTTCCCTTTTCTGGTCTGACTTCCTCATGAACAACCTTGGTGCCAGATACACCAGCTTGACAGATGGGGATAGAAATCAGTGGCACTATGACCTTGTCTGCCTTAGCAACTCTGGTGCTAGGCATTACAGAAGGCTCACCTGATTCTGTTGAGCCATAACCAAGACCAAAACCAGTGCCAATCTGTTGATCAAGCACAATCTTTTCCATGGAAGACTGGGCCTTCTGGTAAGCTTTGTACTTAATCTCGAGAGGCTCTATTTCTCTTATTCTCTTGAGAAGAGAAACATTTTCAGTCTCCAGTTGATCTATTTCCTCAATTAGAAGATTGATTTTGATCTCAACCTCCTTCTTTAAGTCAAGAATTTCAGCTTTTAACTTACTATTTTCTTCTGTTACAGAAGAATAAGTGGCTTGTATGGCCTTAAACTCTTCCCAAAATTCTGACATTGAATCAGAATCAAAAACTAAGCCTACCGAAGAAAAACTAGATTCAGAAGTAGAGGTTACCTCATCATCAGAATGAGCCATGAGGCAAAGGTCTTCTGTCTCAGTATCCAGGCAACAGAAGGCCTCATCAGAATCTGAGTCAGAACTGGATTCTGTTTCTGACAGAGGGTCTTTCTCCAGCTGTTCTGTCACAAGTGCCTTTCTCCTTCTGGAGTTGTCCTCGTACTTCTTCTTTTCTCCATCCTGTCCTTGCTTCTTGGACACTCTAGGATGGGGACAATCAGCCTTGAAGTGACCAGGTTGTCTGCAATTGTAACAGAGAAGCTCTCCACTGCTTGCTGTTGATTTGACCTTCTGGTATGGCTTTCTGTTGAAAGATGGACTCCTTCCATCTTTGGGATTCTTCATAAACTTTTTGAATATTCTGGCAAAGGCAGCCATATATTCATCAGATAAAAGTACTGAAGGGTCAAAATCATTTACCTTTGATGTGCTGGCAGTGAGGGATGTAGTGGTCCTCTCTTCTGGTACATCTTCCTTTTCTTCAGTCATTTCAAACTCATGAGCTTTGAGATCTGAAATGAGCTTATCAGTGGGATAAGTCTTTACATCCTTGCTGGCTTGGACAGCAACCACATTCATCTTCCATGCTGAGGGCAGTCCCCTCAACACCTTCAGGTTGATCTCCTTGGTGGTGAGTTCCTTGCCAAGCTCAGAGATCTCTCCAGTGAGAGTGAGGAGCATGTCATACATCTTGGAGATGCTTTCACCAGGAAGAAGTTTGAAGTCATCAAACTTCTTGTTGGCTATGGTTAGTTTGTTGTCCTTCTCTTGCTCATCACCAGCTCCAATGAGCTCAAGAGTATCCCAGATTTCCTTAGCAGTCTTGCACTTCTTGATTCTGTTGAAGTACCTATCATCAATGGACTTGTAGAGGATGTCCTTAGCAATATTGTCTAGGTTGTACTTTCTCCTCTCTTCAATGGTCCATTCTGACTTGGCTTTACTGATCATCTGGGGTCTGGTGTTGTCTATAGCATGCTCAGGATTGACCTTCTGGAAGCTTGTGAAGGGGCCAATGTCTAGAACTTCCCACATCTCATCATGCAGGGCACAGAGATGTGCTTTCATCCGGATCCTCCAGTCATCAAACTTAAGATCTGAAAACATAAGATTCTTGGACAAGGAGTGATCCATTATATCAGATAGAAATGAGATCAAACAGAAAAACAAGTGGATCTTTGTTCAGCAAATAACCTAAGAGATTATTAGAACAAGGAGGCTCTGATACCACTTGTTGGTCCCAGTTATACTGGATACAGTCTAGAGGGGGGGTGAATAGACTGTATTGGTTTTTAGCTTTTTAAACTAAGTACCAGATTTACAGAATAGCATGTTCTGTTGACAGAACAGACTGGCAGCGGATGGGGTTCTGGTAGGGAGTTCTGTTGATTTAGCCTCAGAGAAGCAAAGGCAGTAGGCCTTCTGTTAACTCGTAGAACAAGTTCTGCTGAACACAGATACCAAGTCCAAGGAGTTAGACAGTTCTATCTAAGTGCAAATATTAAAGCAGTAAGTAAACGACACCAGGAATTTTTATAGTGGTTCAAGGAACAACTTGTTCCTCTAGTCCACTGTTCCACTAAGCTGTAAAAACTTCCGTTTACAAAGCCTTAGTCCTAGCACTTAAGAAGCACTCCACGTCTTCTTCAAGTCTAGATGTCTCCTGGGATGCACTGCCTGGCTTCCTTTAAGACTGGTCCTTTCACTGAGCTTCCAGAAAGTATCACCACTTTACTACTCCAGTTACTTGGACGTCCTTCTTGTAGCAAGAAGAGTTTCTGTTGAAACAGGGGTTCCTCCAACTAGCTTCGTTACAAAAGATTTGTATGTGATGAGCTTGAAGAGTTGAAGAACACTTGGAACTTTGCTTGAGTTGGAAAAAGTATTTTTCCAACTTCTGCCTTCTCTTGTAGAAGATAATGAGTTTGAATCTCAAGGAGGCTTTTTGCTTTTCAGAGTTTGAATATCTTGTATGAAGAGTTGTAGCAATGTGTAGCAAAAGTTGCAAAGTTATCCGGTTGTTCTTCGTAGTGTATCTTTTATACTGAGGTTGTCTTCCCGTTGGAGGAGTAGGAGGACAACTGCATTAAATGAACGATCAGTTGACTTGACTAGTAGAGCCCGGTAAAGTTGGCGGGTTACTATTTTGGGATAAAGTATTCCTGACATTGCGGCCAATCATCTGCAATTACTCTACGTAGCATGGGGTGCATTAAATGAGCATTTAATGCGTGCACTGTAGCTTTTCCGTTTCATACTCCTAGCCGTTGAAGGAATCTTTTAGTTGACTTCCCGGTTCAGTGAAATTCTTCTAAGTGTCAGACCTTCTGGTGTCTTTATCTGAGAGTAGAACAGAGGAGGTCTGGAGCACTTCTGTTGGGAGAGTATCCAACAGAGACCCAGAAGGGTTTCTGTCAGAGTGAAGACTAACAGAGACCCTGAGGTCTTCTGTTCTGGAGCAGAGAACCAAAGGTCCTCTGTTTCAATAAAGCCTTACGAGGCTCTTCTGCTCTTGGAGCCCTTCTGCTCAGAAGGTCTTCTGCTCTGAAGGCATTCTGTCAAGTCGATTACTCTAAGAACTTTACAAAGGAAAAATTCTAATACATAATTTCTAAAGGGGTACTCTAAAGTCCTAATTAATCTAGCATCATCAAAATCTAAATACAATTATTCCTTACACGTGGTTAACTCAATCATTCCGGATGACCGAATGACGAACGAGTTAACAGCATGGAAGGAAAATCAATTCTCAGTTAAGGGAGTTTTTGACCCTAGATTTATGAAAGAATAAAGGGATCAAAAACGGCTTGAAGAATTGAGGCTCAGAAAATCGGTGCCCGTGGTTAACTCAATCATTCCGGATGACCGAATGACGAACGAGTTAACAGCATGGAAGGAAAGTCATTCTCAGCCAACGGCTTGGAGTTTGACGCTCAGATAGTCTCACCTCAGCGGTTAATATGAGAATCGATTCTGGAAAACCGAATGACGAACATATTAGCAGTTTGGAGGGAACCATTATTTCAGCAAGAGTTTTGACTCTGTAATTACGCATTGATGAAGGGATCAAAATGGCCTGAAGTTCGAGGACAGTGATTCTCACCTCATCTTTTTAACACGCAGAATCATTCCGGATGACCGAATGACGAACGGGTTAACAGTTTGGAGGGAGCTGAGTCGTCAACTTGGCCAAAGTCGACCCTGTAATTACGTACGGGCAAAGGGATCAAAACGGCTTGGAGATGGTGTCAAGACTGTAAGATATGGATTAACCGAGCGACGTTCGGATAAGGTACGGATTGTCGCCCGGGGAATCGGAACTATGGTTTTGAAAAAGCTCGCCTCAGTCATGAACTTGATTCGGAAGCGAGTCGCCCTTTTAGCTATAAGTAAGGAATGACCCAATTCGGTGATCTTGCTTATAGTTCGAAAAGGGTTACCTCAGACCCCTAATATGGATGATACGAGCCAGAGAGAATAGTTCGGAATGCATCGGAATTATGGGTTTGGAAGGGAGATAGTCTCACCTCAGCTTGTTAACGTGTGGAATCATTCTGGATGACCGAATGACGAAAGGGTTAACAGTTTGGAGGGAGCCCCTATCCCAGCCGAGAGTTTGATCCTGTGGTCACGATCAAAACGGCTTGGAGGAATTCACCTCAGCTAAGAGTTTTGAACTCGTGCGTCACGAACGGAAAAAGGGATCAAAACGGGTTCGGGAAAGGTGTCAGAACAATTGCGAAGAGAGTCTCACCTCAGCTTGTTAACACGTGAAATCATTCCAGATGACCGAATGTCGAACAGGTTAACAGTTTGGAGGGAGCCCCTGTCCCAGCTGAGAGTTTGACCCTGTGGTCACGATCAAAACGGCTTGGAGGAATTCACCCCAGCTAAGAGTTTTGAACCCGTGCGTCACGGACGGAAAAGGGATCAAAACGGGTTCGGGATAGGTGTCAGACATAAAGATACATGAGCCGAGTGAGGTTCGGCCACATAGAAAAGTTTGTGAACAAAAAATCAAAGGAAGAATAGAAAAAAGACAACAGATAAGGAAAGAAGTCCAGTTTATTCTTCGGCATTACTAGCCGGAATATACAAGAAGAATAAAGAAGCAAAAAATTACAGCAAGGCTATGCTACTGGAGGATTGCTGTTCGGGCAGGAGGGAGGCTGAGAGCTCCCTGCCTGCACTGCATCATCAGGCGCTGCTTTGGACCTTTTCTCCATAATGCGATCATATGTATTCCCGAACAGATCGTCAAAGCCTAAATCATCAGGATCGAACGGATTGGGGAAATGCTCTAGGATCAATTCAAGGTTCCTGTCCAGAAGCAGGTCCTGACTTTGCTTCACAGTTTTCTCGGTCAGGACATCCAAGAAAGATTTCCCTTCCGGCGTGCTGTCCAGGAGGTCGATCCCTGCTTTGATGGGATCTTCGCTCTCACGCAAGAATTGGCCAAGGTGAGGACCCAGGAATTGCCGGGCCGTGTTCTCCAGAGCGACGTTCAGCCCCTTGCCCCGTTGAAAATCCACTATTGATTGATGAGCAATCTGGGAAGTATTGACCGTGTAAGGTTCGGGCAGATGATCGCCAACAGTTTTATCGAATTTGATACCAGCAGATTCGGCAGCTCGCACCTTGGCCCGGAGTTCTTTAAGCTCCCGGTCGCGACGACGAGATTTCTCCTGCATCTCAGCCAGAGCAGCTTTTGCCTTCTCACCCTCCTTGGCCTGCTCTTGGAGATCGGCCGCTAACTTCCGAGCGGCAGAAAGGAGGACCTGACCGTCATCCCAATCGCTGGCCAGGGCTTTCATTTCCTTCTCGGCTGCAAGAAAGGCCTTGTGATAGTATACACCAGTCTGAAAACGAGATTACAGTAAAAGTCAGATAAAGTAAAACATGAAGAATGGAAAGACATGGATCGGAATGAAGTGTACCTTGAGTGCTTCCTGGTGACCTGCTTCGAAAAGATCCGACCAGTGGGTCAGGTTCGTGAAGCTTGGGGGAACCTTGATTGCAGTGTGACACCACATAGAAGATGGCATCAACCCGAACAGATACCTCCTTTCTGATCTGGGCCCCATGTTTGAAAACTCGACAAACATCCGATCATCGATCGGTGTGTCAGTAAGAGGCGGAGTTGATTTGTTGGCAGGCACCAATCTTTTGGGCTTAACCTCCGGCCCGGTCAAATCAACCACATGGTCGATCGGGATCAGTTGATCGCCATCATTCCCTTTGCGCTACTTACGGGTTTGCTTCGCCGAGTCACGATCGGCTATCATTTTCTCCTTTCCTTTACCGAAAGAAGCCGTCAAGGTAGCAGAAGAGATAGAGCGCCAGACGGGTATGGGAGATATCACACCTACAAGAAAGAGGAATAAAAATTAAGAAGCTGATTTGTGAGAATGAAGGGTGATCGGGTTAAAATCTTACTACGCTTACCGATTCCAGCAGATAACATGCTCGAAGTAGTGATAAAACTCCGAAGACTTCGGGTCCCTCCCATCCGCAAAGACTCAGCTTGGGAGCGTAGAACGGCATCCACCCTGGACTGAGAGTCTTGAACGGGGTATGCGTTCCACCTATCTGGGAATGGTAGAGAGTCACCTACCCGAACGAACAAGAAACGTTCCTCCCAGTCAGCCGACGGGGTAAGATTCTCTGTGAACAGCTAACGATCAGAACGAGCTACCAGTTTCAGGTACCCGGTCATCCAGTAAGGTTGATAGCAGTAATGGTGAAGGAACAGATCGACGCTTGGAGTGATCCTCAACTCATGGCATCGAATGATGAAGCCTGTCAGAATGCGGTAAGTGTTGGGCACGAACTGAGCGGGCAGTACAACAACCCGGCGTAAGAACTCCACAATGAATGAATGGAGAGGGAACCGAAGCCCAGCAGTCAGAGCATCGAGATGCACTAGCACGTGCCCCGGTCGGTGCCTCATCGGGTGCCGAATGAATCCGGCGTAGTATTCCCTTGGTGGGGGCAACAACTGGCTAAGTTGCCGTTCGACATCTTCTGGTAGACGTTGTTTTTGTTTGCGTATGCGAGTGAAGTGTAGGGGAATGCGGGGTGGCCGCTCGGGCATCCCCTTGTTATAGACTTGGAGGTCATCTCCGGATAGACATCCGTCATCCTGTGGCTGTTCGGTGTGTTTGCCGGCTTGAGGATTGGCGGGTTTGGGTGTTTGGGACGAAGAGCCTTCGGCCTTGTTACCAGCGGATGTCTTGCTTGTGCGAATCAAAGGCATCTCTTCAGATTCTGAGCTAGAGGGGTAGTACATAAAAACGCTAGAGGAACTCTGGGAATTCTAGAGAGAAAAGGCTTGAGAGTATGCAAGAGAGTTCTGGGAATTCTAGAGAGAGAAAGCTCGAAAGAAAAGTGAGAAAACAGCAGGAGAAATTAGGGGGAGCACCTCTCTATAAATAGGGAAAGTGCCGCACAAATCCCTAATCCATGAGCAACACGTGGCATTGGGTGGTTACGATTAATCTGGGGCATTTTTGATTCATTTTTTGTGCACGTACCCCGGACGGGCTTACAGAGGATTAGCAAAGATCACAGGGACTTGCTGTTTAGAAAAATTGCTAAGTCCTAAAGGTTAACCTGAAGCCCGACCGGCTATCAATGTTGTAAAAGGTTAACCTGAAGTCCTAAAAATTGATCTGAAGCCCGAACGGCTACCAACTTATGAAGAAGCCCAGGTGCGAAGAAAACCAAGAAAACAGCTGACCTAAGGATTGATCTGAAGCTCGACCGGCTATCAACGTTGTAAAAAATTATCTAAAGCCAGAATGTGCTAAGTCCTAAAAAATGGTCTGAAGCCCGAACGGCTGAGTCCCAGAGAGAAGGGGTTTTTTCCTTAATAAATTATCAGAACCTTCTAATGCCCGAACGGCGATCAACGGCATTAGGAGTATTTGAGCAAGAAATAAAGTCAGGAAATTGGTTAAGTCCTACAAAACGGGCCGAATCCCGAATGGCGAGTAAATCATGCAATAAAGACAGAAAAGACAGTACACAAAGCTTCATGCAAAAAAGGGATATATATTCATCGGTTCTACTGACCGGGAAGTACAAGCTACTTAGAGAAAAGAAAATTACAACAAGTAATTAAAAAGTACATATAGATTACTGGCCAGGGGCCATTTCATCTCCCTCTTCGTCCTCGTCCTCATCATCATCAGACGGGGGTTCAGGCTCTCTCCCAGCAGCCCGATCAGCTTCTCGTTGCTGAGCTCGCAGAAATTTCTCGAACTGAGCCTGTATAATGTCATCTTTGGGAAGATCAGAAGCCTGAACCGGCCTCCCCAGATTATTTTGAAGCTGAGCAACGAAGGGACGCAGTAGGACCTGGCCAATTTTGCCATAAAGGTCTGTAACAATGGAGTCGTTCCATTTTTTGGCCCCGGGATCCTTGTCCAAGAGGGCCACCCCTGCCGATAGCCGACCAGCACCTTTGGGGAAACCCTTCAAGTACGCCCCAAAGGCGAACGGGATTTGGGTCCTTGCGTGATCATCCTTGATGATGGAGAATTCATCGAGGATTTAAATGTTTCCCGGACGGCGGACAGATCCACATTCACTTCATAGGGACCGTCCGGGATGCTGGATGGCATTTCTTCAAACTTGACCTGTGCGGCCTCAGCGGCAAGGACCTTAGCCTGGGAAGCTGCAAGTTGAACCCGAAGGGTACCGAGTTCAGCATCCAGCCTCTGCTTCTCCTCCGCAAAGGCCTTCCGTTCAGCCTCCAGAGAGGTAATGGCGGCGGCAGCATTTTGCTCAGCAGAAGATTGAGCAACAATCAGTTCCTGTTCCTTGGCCAGACGGGCTTCCCGCATTTGAAGGGTGTACAAACCCATCTACAGAGCACCGTTCGAGAGTTAGTACTGATTACAGAGAATAAAATAAAAACAGGGCGCAAAAAATAATGTACCTTCAGAGCGGTCAAGGCCAGGCATTCTTCAGATTGCTCGACCGGCAACTGAGGAAGGGAAAAATTGTTGAACCATGAGGAGGTTGACCAGATCTGGCTCGCGGTAGAACCAGCCCTTTCTAATACCTCGTGGAAAGGATCAGATAAGGAGATCCGCTCGACCTGACCAGTAATATGGTCGGTATGGGTCTCACCTGCATTCGAGGGTTCCCCTCGAACGGAGTCAAAGTGCTGAGAGAACTGATGCAGTTGGTCAGAGCCGAACCGATCGTCGACCAGCATGGCCTCGAATTGGTCCTGATGGACCTGCTGTATTGGCTGTGGCTCTGGAAGCGGTTGAGAAGAGGCAGCATCCTGAGCAGGAACAATGGAGGGAGTAGGTTGGGGGTTCTTCCTGGATTTTTTCCGTTTACCGGCCCCACCGACTGCGATAACTATGCTATCATCCATAGGTAGATCTGGGTTTGGTGCTTAAAAAAAGACAAAGGGCAATGTTAGTATCGAGCGGCCTTAGCGTGTGAGAAACTAGAAAAAAGAACAAAAGAACGTTTCTCGCACGGGAAGGACCGCCCGGACCATGGCACTTGGTTTCTCAAAACAAGTAAACCCAAGAGAACGGGCAGTACCTATCCCGGCTGTAATAAGTCGTTCGGGAGTCAGATAACTCATGATGTCCATGCATTTATCCTTCTCCACAGCAAGCACGTCCTTGTAAATTTCTTCAGTGAGGACAGGATCAGGAGTCTTGCGGGGGAAGGCATTCCATTTGCGGGGAATTAGGCCGTCCGGGACAGACACGAAGAAAACCCGGTCTTTCCACCCTTTGATTGAAGTTGGGTTTCCCTTGAACATGATGTGTCTCGTTCGGGCACTAGTGGCCAGATAGCCGTGGGTTTGTTGGGGGGCTACCTTGAAAAATTGGTGGAAGAGTTCTAGGGTTGGTCGGGCGCCGGCATCTTTACAACGGCAAATAAAACCCGCCATTGCCCGATAGGAGTTCGGCATAATTTGGGTCGGTACGACTTCGTAGAAATTGAAGAATGAAATGTAAAAGGGGTGTAGCGGAAACCTAAGGCCGGCCCTAATTGAGTCAAAATGAACTATGGTCATTCCGGGCCTATGACGCATTGGGTGAAGCCCAGCTTGCAAACGGAAGTCCACCGGGTCAAGGATAAGGGCCGGAATTTCGGCCCTATTATGGGAGGTCAGCTTTTGCCGCCTCTCCCTAATCAATTTTAGGTCAAGGGTACGGCGAGGAAAATCGTTGGGACGTCCAGCCGCCATGGAGGCTATTTCGTCCTCGGATTTGGTGTCGTCGGAATCTTCACTGGAGGAAGAAGAAGTGCTAGGAAGGTCCTCCGCCTCAGCCCTGGTATTCGTCGCCGTTTCACTAGAACCACCTGCAAACGGGACTGTGATGACGTCCACAATAGCGGCGTCACGGTCATCTCCGAATCAGGGGAATGCTGTTTGGGGCTCATCTCGGTCGAGCCAGAAATGAAGATAGGGAATCCGGATTTGAGAAGTTACCTGAGCGATGGAAGCTGGGAGAAAATTGCAGGGGAATCAACAAGGCGCAGAGAATTGCATAATCGAAACCCGGAATTGAGAAGTTAAAGGCTAATTTATAGCCTTGAAACTGCCGTGTCAAGAACCAATCAGAGAGTGACATGTCACAGGGGGCATTTAAGCTAAACATGTGTTTAATGAAAAGACTAAACGACGGTTATCATGATGAATATGGGAAATGAAGCGGCAGCCGTCAAATCGCAGCATGGGGAACTGATTACTTCTGTACCCCGATCGCCATTCGGGGTATTATAACATTGATATACTTCCTAATGCACTCACTATCGTTCGAGACATCGGAAGTGGGGGACTTGTGTTGGGATATTGACCTAGAGGCCCAATACCCAGATCGAGAAGGCCCAAGATATCCGGCCCAAGCAACGGGCCCATCACTCTATGATGAATAGATCCAGTAAGAAGACATACCGAACGGAGTTCGGCCCAAATAAAGGTTGGCCCAGTAAGAAGACATACCGAACGGGGTTCGGGCTATATATCATACTTGGGCCAATTTGACAGCATCTTCAGTACAGCCCAATATCCCGTTCGAGCAACGGCCAACCAGCAAGTGGCCAGGTGCAATTAATGCCAGACTATGACATCAGCAAGTGGAAGTATGGATGACCAAATCGGTGGAACAACGGCCAATCAGCATGGGGCAGCCCATGCTCTCCATTAGTATAAATAGAAGGTTTCAAGTCATTGTAAGGGTTAGCATTTCAATACTCAGGCTCTAGAATAGCATCATTGCTCTTATTTCTTGTATTAAGGCATAGTTTCCGACCTACCGATCGGGAAATTCCTTGTAATCAGATTGGTTAATTAATACAAGTGAGCTTTCGAGTGTTAGTTAGTTCAGATCTTATATTTTTTACACACCTTGATTCTGTGCCATTCCTGATATATCCAAAGTTCGTGTTGGGCTTTCGGATCTACGGGATTTACCCTCAACATTAGGTTTGTAGGTTAGTAAGTTAAGCATGGTTTGTATGTGATCTCACCCCTATATATATATATATATATATATATATATATATATATATATATATATTGAGGTTAAGTCCCGTAGATCCGAAAGCCAACACACGCTTTGGATATTTCAGGATATGGGTAATAAATTGAGGGTATAACAAAATATAAAAGCTAAGTAATAATATGCTCAAAGCCCACTTGTATTTAAACAATTCGCTGATTACACAGGAAACTTCCCGAACGGTGCGTCGGAATAGTGATTAATACAAGAACAAGAGTAATAAAGCTATTCCAGGCCTTGAGTATCAAAATGCTAACCCTTTACAATGATATTAATCCCTATATTTATACTAATGGGGGTATGGGGTGCTCTATGATGATTGGTTGCTAATCCAGCCACTTGAACACCCATGCTCCCACTTGTTGATGTCATACTCTAGCATTTAATGCACCTTACCACTTGCAAGTTGTCCGTTGCCCGAACGGAGTCATGGACCAAGCCGAACACATCCTTGATCTGGCCCAAAGTACCCTGGTTGACCCGATTCCCGTTCGAGGCATATACCTCACTGGGCCATTCTTCGTCTGGATTCCGGGTTAATTATTGGACTGGATATTTCATTATTTTGGGCCTTTGGCCAGGGTATTGGGCCTTCGGTCCAATATCCCAACACAAGTCCCCCACTTCCGATGTCTCGAATGGTACTGAGTGCATACGGAAGTAGAAAATTTACACCGATTTTCGATCGGTATACAGATCTCGTCGGTTCCCGATGTCTTGATGTAACGGCCTACTTGTGGTTGTCATTTCAATTTTCCATAATCGTCATGATTACTGTCCTTTATTTTCCTGTGTGACACGTGTTTCCTCAAACGCTCCTGGTGACGTGTCTTTATCTGGTTGGTCGACGAAATGGCGCTTGTCGGGCTATAAATATGCCTTAGTTCCTTGGTTATGGGTTTCGAATTCTCATATCCTTCGTGCTTTAGCTCTGCCTTCTCTCTAGGACTCAACAATTTTTCGAGTGTTCATGTACTTTCTACCCCCCCCCCCCTTTATTTCTTTCACTTCGCGTTTGGTACATCATGTCATCTCGACCATCTTCTTCTGGTTCGGATTCAGGGCCCACTTCTCGAGGGGGAACCCATGACGCCGTTGTACCGGACGCCATAGAAGTCCCTTTTGCTGATGTCACCAGTAATGCGATAGCGGGGGCGGCTGAGGAAGGTTCCTCAGGTGAGTCTAACCCTTCCGGTGAGGATTCTGATGCCACGATGTCTGGCGATGAACTTGCTTCAATGGCGGCTGGTCCCTCGGGCGATGTCCCTCGCTATAGGGTGGATTTAAGGTTAATCAGGGAGAGGAGGCGGAAATTGACTTCTCACAATAGGGCTCAACTTCCAGCCCTAATTCCAGACCCGGTGGATTCCCGTCTTCGGGCTGGGCTTCACCCAATGCGCCACCTCCCTGGGATGGTGGTGGTTCATTTAGACTCGGTGAAAGCTGGGCTTAGGTTTCCTTTGCACCCATTCTTCGTGTCTTTCTTCAATTTTTATGACGTAGTACCGGCCCAAATCATGCCGAACTCCTATCAGGTGATGACCGGCTTCATTTGCCGTTGTGTAGATGTCAAGGTTACGCCCAGTTTGGATCTGTTTCATCAATATTTTAAAGTGGCCCCTCAGCAGACTCACGGGTATTTGGCTACAACCGCTCGAATGGGACATATATTATTCAAGGGTAACCTAACTTCAATCAAGGGATGGAAAGACCAGGTTTTCTTCGTTTCAGTCCCGGATAATCTGATTCCGAATAGGTAGAATGCCTTTCCTCGTAAATCACCAGATCTGGTTCTTACCAAGACGATCTGTAAGGATGTTTTTGCAGTGGAGGAGGCCAAAACTTGCAACATTACAGCGTACCTGACTCCTAATCAGCTCGTAAAAGCCGGGATAGGTACTGCCCGTATTCCTGGGTTTACTTGACTGAAAACCAAGTGCCATGGGCTGGTGTGACACCCCCAAATTTTCCACCAAAATAATTCTTTGAAATAGAGATGAACTTTTATTTAATAATTAAACCTTCAAAAGGTTGCAGCGGAAATTAATAAAAACTAAGGAAAAAGGGGCATGTCACCGCCACATCCAATCCGTGAATGATTGGATGCTAAGGCTATCTACCAAAACATGAGTTTAACAAAAATCAAGATGTTCGAATCATAGGCAAATATTAAAGTTTATTTCTAATGAACTACATAGTGGTCTTCTAATTCGCACTCTCAAACAATGCAACATCAAATCAACATGATCACCTCCTGTTAAATACGAGCACAAGAAAATAAAAAAAACAAACATTAGCAAAAATGCTAAGTAAGTTCCACCTAACCTTTTAAAATAATAATAAATTATATATATATAATTCGTACAACCTTTTAACATGAAATATTCTTCAAAACACTTTATCAATCATGAATCATATGTAAACGATATTTATATAAAATCCCAATCACATAATTAACTCGTAAACCATAATAACTTCAAAATACATGAAACACCAAAATTCTCCTCCTTTGAATTTCTCCCAAAAATCATTTTGTAACTAAACTCCTAGTAATTTAGAAGGGCGGTGCTCAATACTTTGGTTGAGCCCGGTGGTCCGTTGTTATGTACGGCCACCCCGGGACTATCGCCGGTACCACATCTGCTTAATGGAAACGGAAACAACTACTTTAAGTGTGCACACCCCTTAAAGGTATTCCAAACCCTCCGGATTAGTAAGTCGATCCGGGTAGCCGGGATGTTTTCTACCAACTACCCCACCTCAAAAACTGAATGATTAGAAGCTACTACTATCACTACTATTCAAAAGCCGAGATGTTTTCTACTGACCGTCAATTCACCTCAACCAAAACCAACAAAAATTGAGTACTAGTAGACCTAACCATCCTCCACATTTTAAGGGACGTGGAAAACCAACACCACGGATTTCTCCCGTGACGCTCACCATTTATGAAAATATTTATTTTTCTTTGTTTTCTCAAAATCACTCGAAGTTTATACTTCAAAAATTTCCTTTTCATCAAACTCCCACAAAGATAACAAATTACGTACTATTACAAAATCTTCCAAAATCGTATATAATAGCTCATATCAACAAAACAATATATCAACTAATATCTCAAATACAACCCTTTCATATAATAATATTCACTCAAATTCAGCACACATAAATTCAATTCTCAAATATGCACACAAAAATAATTAAAGGAAATCACGAAGAAAAAGAACTAATTTCGGTTGACGTGAAACTTACCTTAAGTCCCGATGCTTCTAAGGGCATCCTCATTGGGAGGATTATTACAAGATTAAATTGGTGACATGACAATTTTTTTAGAGAATTATCAATGAGTGACATAGATTATTTAATAGGATTATTTGCTACAATAATCTGGGATCAAAATATGAATCCGGATTATTTTAAGATTATTTGAAAAGTATATGTAATAGAGATAAATGCGGGACAGAGAAAAAACAGATTATTTGAAGATGATGATTGAGAGACATAACTGAATTTTGAGATTATTTTATAATTAATTACATAACAATATTTAAATGGTAAGAATCATATAAAAAATTGATTATTAGAGATCATGAATGGAGATGCTCTAACTCTCTTCCTCAATTCCGGTCTCTAAATATTTACCTTTTTAATTAAGATGACATAGTTAGTCACTTTTTTTTTCTATTTTTAATAGTTTATCCGATTTCCAATTTTTTATTTTTATGACGTTTCATTATTATTCATTAATTAATTAATTAATAACCTTTATTAATCTTGTCACTTTATTTCGTATTTCACTTTCTTCGTTACTGTTTTTAATAGAATCTAATATTCGAATTATTAAAAGAAATAATACGGATCAATATTTTTATTATTAAACTATCCGAATCATTATGTTAATAATATTAGTTCGTACGAATTATAATTACATGCCAGAAACTTCAATTTCAGTTTATCCTATTCAAAAAAAATCATAAGGTTTTAATTCAACTAGTTATGATAATAACAGATTTAAAATATTGATTGACTCGTTTATTATTTCGAATTACTTGATTAGTCCATTAACCTTATTATGGAATTATCTTAAAGTAATAAATTTATCCAAGTGGTTACTTATCAATTAATCAAGCCAATTTCATCATTAATATTTCTCATCTCTAATAAATTCAATTTTCAGATTATTAATATTATTATAAATAATATTATTATTATTATTACTATGGTTATTATTATTATTATTATTATTATTATTATTATTATTATAATAATAATAGATTTTCGACCGAGTCTATAACTTCTATTGGCCCAGGAGTAAAAACACAGCCCACTCAACAATAGGCCCAAAAAAATAATAATAAGAAGAAGACTGCTGCTGTCTTCTTCTTCGTGAGGTCACCGGACGGAAAAACGTAGGTAGGGGATTACCTCGACGGGTGCGGTCAACGAAGGTGGTAGCGGAATCCTTATGGGTCGGTGATGGACATGGATGGACTGGCGGCTTCCGCAGCTCTCCTTTTTCCTCCGTTCTTCGAAACTCCGGCGACTGATTTCTCCCTCCTCCGACGATCGTTTTCTACGTTTCTTTCGCCGTTGGATTCCTCTCACGAAGGGGAATGTTTCTAGAGTATTTTCAAGGCTCGGTTTTTAGTGTAACGCTGTGTTGGATTTTCGCCTATATATATACTACGTATATATTTATGTATATATGTATATGTTTAATGTTTTGCAGCTTTTGGGAATGAAAAAAAAACGCAGGCGAAGGGCGCTATTTATAGGTGTAGGTTGAGGGTAGTCAGGTTAGAGTTTGTGTTTAACTTGAACAACTTCTTCCGCAGCTTCGTTCTTATCTCCAACTTTGTACGTAGTTTATCTCCGTAGGAAGCTTATTATCAGCCAGTTGAGATAGTACTGAAGGAGTTTTAACTCAATTATGACTCTAAATGTAGCTCGTTTTAATTTAAAAATTCATTCTTATCTATATACTTGTATATATCAGTTTGGTTTACCGTAGGAAAAAAATATTTTCTTTTCTTTTTGCACTTGGTAGATTACGTAGGTTTAAATCTTTCTTTTCTTTTTGTCGTGTACTTCGTAGGTTTAGTAGTAGGTTTTGTATCAACTATTAGTTTTATTAATACTATAAAGTGTACACATGTGTTAGTTATTATGGTTTTAGAAAAGTCAAGTTTGTATTTTGTGTATTTTTATACAAAATTAGAATATAACTTTTACTTTTACTTCTTATGTCATATGTATAACTGGTACCTGATATAAAACGTTACTTCTATTACCGGATCATTTTTGTCAGTTTCAAACGTTAAATTTTTGTCTGGTTCACTTATTTAATAAAATGTTGTTTCTATCACTTAGTTAAATGTCTGGTTCACTTATTTTTTTTTGTTTCTATTACTGGAATATTTTTATCTGACTAAAATGTCATAAATTTTGAAATTTTATCTGATTAGAATGTCACGATTGTTGAATTTTTGTTTGACTTACTTAATAATTAAAATGTTATTTTTTTTGTCTGGTTCAGTAGCGTAATAAAATGTTACTTTGATAATATTTTATTATTTATTTTATTTTATCTTAAATTTTTGAAGTGTCACAGTTGGGCGGTCCTTCTCGTGCGAGAAACGTCCCTTTTTTAGTTTCCCATGCGATAAGACCACTCGGTACTAACTTTTGCCTTGTTATTTTTTCAGTTCCCAACCGAGACGTTCCTATGGATGATAGTCGGGTCCTTGTTGCTGGTGGAGTGGGCAAGAGGAAGAAGGCCAAGAAAAATCCCAAGGCCAATCCTTCCACCGTCACTAATCAAGATGCAGGGTCCTCTCAGCCCGTTCAGGCACCTGTGCCTCTTCAACAGGTTTTCCACCATCAGGAGCCTAAAGATATGATGATGGACAACCCGTTCGAGTCTGAACAATCGAATCATTTTTCTGAGCATATCCAGGCCGCTCAGGAAACAACCATGGAAGCCGATCAGGCCAATCCAACTAATATTGTCAGGCCAGTCGCACGGATCACTCTGGAGGATCCGGTTCATGAAATCCTGGAGAAGGCTGGTTCTGTTGGGAGCCAAGTTTGGTCAACCTCTTCTTACTTCAATAATTTTCCGCTCCCCGTTCTGCCATTCGATCGGGCAGAAGAATGTGTGGCCTTAACGGCTTTAAAGGTACTTTGTTTCCCCATGCACTTTGTTTCATAGGTTATCATTCATTCCATATCTCATCTTCTATCTTCAAATGGAATTCTGTAGATGGGGTTTTATAGCTTGCAGCTGAGGGATGCCCGGCTGGCCAAAGAGCGGGATTTGATTATTGCTCAAACTTCTGCAGAGCAAGCTGCTGCTGCTGCCACTACTGGTGTTGTGGCTGATCGGAAAGCATTTGCAGAGGAAAAGGAACGCCTCGAGACTGAGCTAGGTTAGCTTAGGGTTCAGCTCGCAACTTTTCAGGCCAAAGTCTTTGCTGTTGAGGCTGCTCTAGTGAGGTTTGAAAAGACGCCCCCCTGCATCCCGGACGGCCCAGCTGAAGTAAATGTGGACTTGTTCGCCGTTCGGGAGGCATTCAAATCTTCTGATGAGTTTTCTGCCATCAAAGAAGATCACGCTAGGCAGCAACTCCCAGCCGTTTTTGGGGCTTATTTAAGGACTTTTCCCAAGGGTGTTGAACGGCGTAGGGCCGGAATGGAACTTCATGATAAGGATCCCCTGGGCAGGCAGTGGAACGATTCTCTGGCCGAGGATCTCTATGTTAAGGGTTGCCAACATATTTTGCGCCCTTTTGTGGCCCAGTTGCAGCAGCAACTCGGGAGACCCGTCCAGGCTTCTAATCTTCCCCAAGTAGATATTGTTAAGGCTCAATTTTAGCGGTATGATCGGGAGAATGAGACATGCTGCCGCTCGGGAAGTTGGTAGGAAGCCTGAGTCATCATCAGAAGAAGATGATGATGATGATGAAGCCATTGATGAATAGATTAGTTTCTCTGATAATCCTTGTAATTTTTTTTGCTTAGATTTCAAGGTTATTGTACCTCCCGGTGATGTGAGTTTTCTCGCACTTAAAATAGATTGTAGTAAAGGGTGTAAGTACGAGTATCGTCTCCACAGGGACAGACAAAAGGAAATTAAGAATTAATTAAATTCAGCGATTAAAAAGAAATAAAATAAAATAAATTGTGTGAGATTTGATTGATTGGAAAATTAACTTGCAATTAAACGAAAACTAAAGCTAAGAGGTTCTTTCTAATTAACGACGACGGGAATAGAGATTGATTCCGGGGTAACCAGATTTCTGGCAGATCAGGTCTAATTACATTAAATTAACTTAATTGAGCCTAGCTAGTCATTACTAAGTTCTTACCGCTCTCGCGGCATAGAGTACAATAATTTAGGGGACCAAGTTGATCTCTCATGCGACAGGATCCTAAATTATTGTCAAGACGAGCGAGCTTACAACCCTTTAATCGCTACTAATCTCTTAGCGAGCGATTAAGTGTGTGTGAATGTGTCCTAGAATAAATTAGATCTCTCTTAACATATTCTACAAGCAATTGTAATTCTAGTGCGCGTTCTAGGTTACAAGAGATATCAATTAAATTATTCAAACGCAAATTAAACGACATTCATGCAATTAATCCATCAAGAATCTAGCCATACATCATGATTAACTCCTTCATCAATCCCAAATCCATAATTAAACTACTCACAATTCATAATTGAAGAATCAACGGAATTGGGCTGAATAGAATTAATTGTCATTAATTCAAAAGATGGAACTTACAAAGAATCCCAAAAGATTGATGAACAAGGCTGAAAAGCTCTCTAAATTTCGTGCTAGGCACTCTCTCTAAGCTCCCCCTCAAAACATGGGTTTACAGGCTGTTTAAATAGAAAAAACGGAGCAATTCGGGTTAAATTAGGACTGAAACGGGGCACGCACGGTGCCCACGCACGAGTGCGTGGCATCCGTGCGTTCGACAGACTTGTGCGTAAAAACGTTGGACGCACGCGTGCGTCCCCCAAGCACGCGTGCGTGGCTTCCAGTGAGTTTCCCGACTTCTCTTGGTAAGTTCAAGATGTTGGCTTCTCAAATGGGTAAGTTCACTTGTTTTTAGCCCGATCGATCTGCGTTCAATTCTGTTCCTTATCTTTGTTTTCTTCCTTTGCAGGCGTGATTTCTCTTGCTGCCGCTCGGCGTTCCACACTCGTTCCTACTTTGACTGCACCTACTGGGAAAGGCAAGGAGAAATTGATCGCTGAAAATCAGAATGATGCCGGACAAAACCGTAAAAGGCATCGCGGAAATGACGGTACCCAGCTTGTCCCGATCGATCATATAGTAGATTTGACCGGTCCAGAGGCTCAGCCTAAAAAACATGTTCTCCCTCCTAAACCAAAGAATGCAGTTCTTACCAATGTGTCGATCGATGATCAGATGTTTGTGGAGTTTTCCATCTTGGGGCCTTCGATAGAGGGAAGAAATCTGTTCGGGCAGACACCCACCTCCATGTGGTATTGTGGTGTAGTATTCTTTTAAAGTTCCCCCCAGTTTCTCCAACCTAACCCATTGGTCTGACTTGGTTGAGGCAGGTCATCTTGAGTCCCTCAAGGTATGGATCCTTTTAAACTCTATTGGTTATACTTGACCTTCTTATACCTCATCTGACCCTGTATGCCGTTTTGTAGGCCGGCGTATATTACCACCGGGCTTTCCTGGCGGCCGAATAGGAGATGAATCTCCTGGAAAGCGACCGAGATGATAGTCAGACCCTTCTATCTGCTGCTCGTAAGCTGATCATGGACTTGTAGGACCGTGCCACCAAAGGTGAGAGAGCAATTGCCGAATGGCCCGAGATGGAGGAGAGGATCCGCCGTCGTGATCGAGATATCAAGGATCTCAAGGCTAAGGTGAAGGTGGCCGAATCTGCTGGGATGAGGTTTGACAAGGTCGAAGGAGAAAATACCCCCGATCCTTATACTGTCGATACTTCCAAGATTACCAGGCAAGCGGTGATCGATTATCAACGATGGAAAGGGATAAATGTTGCCCTGGAAAACACCGCTTGACAGTTTCTGGGACCTCATCTTGGTCAATTTCTACGTGAGAGTGAGGACCCGATCAAGGTGGGGATTGATCTCCTGGATGGTACGCCAGAAGGGAAAGCCTTCCTAGACGTCCTCACCGAGAAGACGGTGAAGCAAAGTCAAGATCTGCTTCTTGATAGGAACCTTGACCTGATCCTGGAGCATTTACCAAAGTCGTTCGATTCTGATGAGTTAGGGTTTGATGACCTGTTCAGAAATACTTATGACCGGGTCATGGAGAAAAGACAGAAGGGAGTTTCTGATGATTCGGCGCAGGCTAGCGGCTCTCAGCCTCCATCTTGCCCGATCAGTGATCATTCAGTAGCATAATATTTTGCCTTTGATTTCTTTTGTACTTTCTGGCCAATAGTGCTGAAAAATAAAACTTGATTCTTTCCCCGATCATGTTATTTCAGTGCTCTTGCAATCTTCCAAACCCAAAATTCTGATGCAATCCGTCCGGTTTCCTCCAATCCGGATCATCCATATTAGGTGTTTGTGATGACCATTTTTAAACTATAAACAAGATCCCTTGGTCGGGTCATTTCCTACTTATAGCTAAAATGGCAACTCACTTCCAAATCAATTGCTTAAGGATCCCTCCCTTCGATCCCATGTCATTGGGGTCCGTTTAAAGAAAATGACTGAGGTAAGATTTAAAAACCATAGTTCCGATCCCCCGTTTGAACAATCCGTGTTATCGAACGTCGCTCGGTTCATCCATACTTAAAGTTTTGATACCACCTCCAAGCCGCTTTGATCCCTCTATTCGTTTTTTCATAATAATAGGGTCAAAAACTTTAGCTGAGATGATGGCTCCCTCCAAACTGTTAACACGTTCCTCATTCGGTCATCCGGGATGATTTTACATGTTAAAAGCTGAGGTGAGACTTTCCTGGAAGTTATGTTTCCCTCTCTCTATTTTTTTATGCTCAAGAGGTGGTAACAGCCGGTTTTATTGGTAAAATTTCCTCAAATGTTCAACATTTCATGTTTCTGCTGGCCGGCCCTCGGTAGATTGTAGGTCCAACGTTACAATCTATATATATATATATACACACACACACACACATAGATTGGAGATCAAATACAAACCATTCTTAACTTAATAACCTACAAACTAATCCTGATCATCTATTTCAATGAAACAACCGTACGATTCATCTAGATTAGATTAGAGAATTAAGGGTGATGGAGTATATCGGTCTAGGCCCTAGGACCCATATACTCAGAAGAACAGAAGGTACCACGATCACCTGGGGGGACCCTCGTCGGCCGGATGACCTCTTCGGCCATGCCCTCATCAGCCATGCTCTCATCGGCCATGCCCTCATCGGCCAGAAAAAGGACTACTCAGAATATGATCCAGAAGCCCGGAGAACCAGGTGCCCTCATCGGCCATGCTCTCATCGGCCAGAAAGAAGGCCACCCAGAATATGATCCAGAAGTCAGGAGAACTGGGTGACCTCGTCGGCCATGCCCTCATCGGCCATGCCCTCGTCGACCATAGATAGCCTCTAGAACAGGATTTTATACTTATCATTTCTATACACTTTGTATCCGGCCCATTAGTGGCCCTGTTGTAAATGGGCCTCCCAAGCCCAAGACTTGGGAGGCCAGTCCTAATTTTCTCTATAAATACTCCCCTTGGGAGTAGTTGTAAGGGTTCACAAAATTCATTAATACAATTCACTTCTCTCTCTAGTTCTCCCTTCTCTCTAGAATCTAGGAGTTAATACTCCATCATTTGGTGCTCTCGTTGAGAGCTAGAACAATCAAGTTAGCATCCTTCGTCGCTACCAAGCACAGCTAACTGATCATGGGAAGAACTAAGTCCAACCGTAACCTCCTCAGCAAGGCCAACCCTGAGGCCCAAGAGAACCGAGAACACGAGGAGGACGCTACGGCTGACAAGGCTCCCATCGAGGATGTCTTCCAGGAAGCCATCGGCCTCACCACTGACCTGCGCAACAAGCTTAACGGCGTCACCCCAGACGCCCGCATCAGTTTGGACAAGAAGTGCGCAGA